GCGAGACTCTATCTATGGGGGTTCCTCCAGTCTTGCGGGATCTTCTGTAGAAAGCTGTAACATTCTCCTGGATTATATAGTGCCAAAAGCTGGAAAGAGCCAGCAGGTAGACATTGGCGGCTGCCACAAGGAGCAGATTCAGGTAAGTAAAGCTCACCTTCCCCTTGCACCACCAACGACAAAGTCATCATTAGGGGGTCTTTACAAATTTTTTCAAGACCCTGGGAGGTGACAGAGCTGCTTTAATTTTTTTAAACTCTGTGAGGAGTGGTACCAAATACCCCACGCATGCCTGTGCAGTAGGTCCCAAGTTATTACTGCCCTGAAAACTTGTCTGTTCAACTCGGGAATGGAGAAAAAAACATCCCCCACCATCTCCAATTCTCACACATACCATCATAATACAACTGCTGTTCATTAATCCCTTGACGACCGATGACGGTTCAGGACCGTCATTGGAAAAATCCACTTGGGGACCGATGACGGTCCTGAACGGTCTGGGGCTACTTACATGATCGCCGTCGGTCCCCCGGCGGCGATCAGCGCTCCTCCCGGTCCAGGGGGACTGCCTGTCTGCCCGGGCAGTCTCCCCTCGGCAGATCAGGACCCCGCGGACACGTGATCACTCGATCACATGACCGCAATATGTGTCTGTGTATCTGCGTGCAGGGGAACTGTCTGTGCTGATAGGCAGTCTCCCTGCAAATAGAAAATCAGAAAAAAAAGTTACAAAATAAAGTAACCAGTGTAAAAAAATAATAATATGTATATATATATATATATATATATATATATATACATGTATTATATCTATATATAATATATGTATATATATCATATATATATATAATGTCATACTAAGTGTATTTTTATATTTTTATATACGTATATTAATATAAAAATACACTTTTAATTTAAATTACACACGTATATATACAATATATATATAATAACTATATATAATGTATATATATATATATTATTATAAATTATAAATAATATGTTAATAAAAATAAATAACAAAAAGTTAAAATAATTTTTATTAAAAAATATTATATATATATATGTAATTTTATTCTAACAGTATTTTGATATTAATATATATAAATACACTTACACTTAGAATGTAATGATATATATCTGTCTAAATAAATAAATAAAAATAATACGAAATATACATATGTCCATATACATAATTACATAAATAATTTAATAAATATACACGTAGACGTCAAATATTTAAATATGTAAATATATATTAAAATTCTATGTGCGTATTTATGTAATATTTTTACCTAATTAAGTAATTTTAATGATTGCAATTTGAGGGACCTGCCTGCCAACCCAGGCCGAAAGTCCAGAGAATTTAATTTGCTAGCACTGTGTTTATCCCTGTAACTTTCTATGACACCCTAAAACCTGTACATGGGGGGAACCAGGCCCGGACTGGCCATCGGGCACACCGGGCAAATGCCCGGTGGGCCGCGGTGTCCGTGGGGCCGAGGCCGGCAGGGGAGGTCCCAGGATCTCCCCTGCCGGTCTATGCAGGGCCGGCACTCTCCCAGCGCCGGCCCCGCTTTGTGCCACGACGGGCCGGTGGGGAGATCAAGGATCTCCCTGACCGGCCCACATGCGGCCGCCGGCGGGGAGGGAGCCAGCCAGCCAGCTAGGCTGGAGAGAGGACTCGGCGGAGCTCTAACTTGCAGCTCCGCCGGGTTCCTCTCGCGAGATCTGGCACGTTGCCATGGCAACGACCGGATCTCGCGAGAGTGAACTCTAGCCTCACAGGCTAGAGTTCACTCACCCACGAGGACCACCAGGGAACACTGCCACCCCGCCTTCCAGCGTGCCGGACCCCCCTCCCAGGCTAAAGGTAAGAAGGGAGGGGGGGAAATAATGACTTTTTTATTTTTTTTATTTACCCCCCCTCCTACACACACACACAATAACATTTATACAGCACTCTCACACCCATCACACACAGCTCTCTCTCCCACAGCACTCTCACACCCATCACACACAGCACTCTCTCACACAGCACTCTCACACCCATCACACACAGCACTCTCTCACACAGCACTCTCACACCCATCACACACAGCACTCTCTCACACAGCACTCTCACACCCATCACACACAGCACTCTCACACATCACACACAGCACTCTCACACACAGCACTCTCACCCATCACACACAGCACTCTCACACACATTACACACAGCACTCTCTCACACATCACTCTCACACCCATCACTCACACCCAGCACTCTCTTACCCATCACACACAGCACTCTCACACAGCACTCTCACACCCATCACTCACACCCAGCACTCTCTTACCCATCACACACAGCACTCTCACACCCAGCACTCTCACACCATCACACACAGCGCACTCTCACAGAGCACTCACACACACACAGCACTCTCACACCCATCACACACAGCACTTTCACACACACACAGCACTCTCTCACAGCACTCTCACAGAGCACTCTCTCACACCCATCACTCACACACGGCACTCTCACACCCATCACTCACACACGGCACTCTCACACCCATCACTCACACACGGCACTCTCACACACATTACACACACACCGCACCCTCACACACACACATACACCACACCCTCACACACACACATACTGCACCCCTCACATACACACAGAACCCCCCCAACACACTGCACCACACACATACACAATACTTCCAAATATATATATATATATATATATACACACATATACATATACATACACACACACACTACACTCTTAAAGGAACACTCTAGCCACCCAGACCACTTCAGCTTAATGAAGTGGTCTTGGTGCCAGGTCCTTCTAGGGTTAACCCATTGTTTTATAAACATAGCAGTTTCAGAGAAACTGCTATGTTTATCAATAGGTTAAGCCTTCCCCCAAAGCCTCTAGCAGCTGTCTCATTGACAGCCGCTAGAGGCGCTTGCGTGCTTTTCACTGTGAAAATCACAGTGAGAGCACGCAAGCGTCCATAGGAAAGCATTATAAATGCTTTCCTATGCGACCGGCTGAATGCGCGCACAGCTCTTGCCGCGCGTGCGCATTCAGCCGACGGGGCGGATTGGAGGAGGAGAGCTCCCCGCCCGGCGCTGGACAAAGGTAAGTTTTAACCCCTTTCCAGAGCCGTGCGGGAGGGGGTTCCTGAGCCACATATGCATCACATTACACCACAAACACAACACGACTAAAACCGACCTTATTACACAATACCACACCACAATCAGCTTACTCTACACACACGCAATACCACAAGCAGGCTCCAAACACATGCACAATACTCTGTCCTGGCCTTTTGTCTCCTGGTATCCATTTATAGAGACACCAGAGACAAGTTGCAAGGAAACACAGTGCAAGCATGTTATTAAATTTGCTTGCACTGTGCAGAACAAATACAGGACTTTTTTTCTCATGCTAGAGCTCTTCGGCAGAGCTCTGCGCATGGTCTGCCCTGGAAGAGCATTGAACCAACATGCTCACTTTGAGAGGAGGCGTGTTTGTCATTGGTGATGACAAAACACACCTCCTCTGCCCCGCCCCCTTTTTAGTGGGCCGCTGTGTTAAAAAAATGCCCGGGCCGAATTTTTCTCCCAGTCCGGCCCTGGGGGGAACTGTTTTACTCGGGAGACTTCGCTGAACACAAATATTAGTGTTTCAAAACAGTAAAACATATAACAGCAATGATATTGTCAGTGAAAGTGACTTTTTTGCATTTTTCACACACAAACGGCACTTTCACTGATGATATTATTGCTGTGATACATTTCACTGTTCTGATACACTAATATTTGTGTTCAGCGGGGTCTCCTGAGTATAACAGTACCCCACATGTAGAGGTTTTATAGTGTTTGTGAAAGTTACAGGGTCAAATATAAGGATTGATTTTACTTTTTTTATTATTATTGAAATTTGTCAGATTGGTTAGGTTGCCTTTGAGAGCGTATGGTAGCCCAGGAATGAGAATTAGCCCCATGATGGCATACCATTTGCAAAAGAAGACAACCCAAGGTATTGCAAATGGGATATGTTCAGCCTTTTTTAGTAGCCACTTAGTCACAAACACTGGCCAAAGTTAGCGTTTTTTGCATTTTTAACACACAAACAAATATAAATGCTAACTTGGGCCAGTGTTTGTGACTAGGTGGCTACTAAAAAAGACTGGACATACCCCATTTTGAATACCCTGGGTTGTCTACTTTAAAAAAATATGTACATGTTAGGTGTGATTTGGGGATTTATGACAGATAATGGTGTTACAATGTCACTATTGATAAATTTAAAATATATATATATATATTGAAACAGCAATTTCCTACTTGTATTTATAGGCCTATAACTTGCAAAAAAAAGCAATAAAGCATGTAAACACTGGGTGTTTTTAAACTCGGGACAAAATTTTGAATCTATTTAGCAGTTTTTTTTCATTAGCTTTTGTAGATAAGTCAAAGATTTTTCAAGTAAAAGTCCAAAAACATGTATTTTTTTCCAATTTTTCACCATATTTTATTATTATTTTTAAAATAAAATATATGACATTATACAAATAATGGTATGTAAAGAAAGCCCTTCTTGTCCTGAAAAAAACAATATATAATTTGTATAGGAACCGTAAATGAGAGAGAGGAAAATTACAGCTAAACACAAACACCACAAAAGTGTCAAAACTGCTCTGGTCCTTAACGTACAACATCGCAAAAACAGGATGGTCCTTAAGGGGTTAAAGGTTGCACCTGGCTGAGCATCACGGGAAATGTATTTCTTGACGCTGTCAGAGACAAAATGTAACCGCTAGCGCCCTCTAGTGCGCAGAGTGCGTTAGTTTGGGGGCGGGCTTCATCAGCATGATTGACAGCTCACCAAGTTACTAAGCCCGCCTTACATTCCCCCTCCGTCCAATCAGTGTGTCGGTGGGCGTGGCTTTGCGGTTGAGGTGAGGTGTGTGTGTGTCAGTCCTGCTCTGCAGTCCGTCCTGAGTGCTGTGTGTGAGTGTGCGGCGCGGAGCGGGGATCTGTACAGGTAGTCCGGGAACTTACCTTCCATCCGCCCACCTACCTACACAGACCCCATAATCTCTCCACCCCGGGGCAGAGAGCGAGGCACAGCCTGGGTGAGTGATCTAACTGCCGGTTACAGGGCTCACTGTACCTGCACTCTGCGTATTGCAGACAGCAAGAGCTGGGGGAGAACTGCAACTCCCATGATGCTTTTACAATCTTCAGGCTGGTTAAACCATGTGGGAGTTGTAGTCCCATGCAAGGTGTGGGTCTGTCTGCCTTTAGGCTGCCCCAGCTATATTACCCTGTGTGTGTGTCAAATGGCACTGATTGGGATAGGGAGAAATAAATACTGTAAATATGTTCGTTTATATTTATTATTTTGGTTTAATCTTTATGCTCCATATGGAAATATATGTGACCTTTAATGGGCTCCTCATTTACAAGTCGTGAGATGAATAGATTTGCCTTCCCCTTTACAAACATATTTAATCACATATTAATGAAAGATTAAATTAATGTTTCAGGGAGGTTTTTTTTTTTTTTTTAATTTTTTTTTCTTTGCTCATTTGCACACCTTTTAAAAATTCTTTATTCGTGTGCAATTATAATTTTGTTTTATATTTGTTTTTTTGATGTACATATAGTCTTACTAATATTATTATTATTATTATTATTATTATTATTATTATTATTATTATTATTATTTATAAGATGCTGTGACTCTCCCTGAGCCTTGATATAAATCTGAAATGCTAAACATTTTTTGGTCAATACCTGGGTCTGTAATAAATATTGAGGTGTATAAAAATGAGCTTCCTGTATTTGTAGGTATTTTTTTTTCCTTCATGATTTAGGAGCATTTAATTAATTTATATTGTCAGAGTGAAACCTGCAACCATAATTATGTATTTAAGTGTCAGTTATTGCCTGAGCGGTTGTTGGTTTATGGCGTTCCTTCAGAAAGTTCACACATTTTACTGAAATGCAATATTGCCACATTTTTAGATGTAAAACCTGTTCTTGTAAAGACATAAACCACTGTACTTGTTGTGAGCCCCAGGGTAAGAGGTAGCGTGTGACACAAAAGTTATAACTCTCCTACTCCCATTGTTTAGTTCTACATCAGTCTGGCACTTAATGGGTTTAGTACAGGACAAGGACACCTGACTACATATTACATAAGGGATGGATGAGCACTGTCTAAGGAATTGCAAATATAGTAAATGGTTTTGAACAAAGAGATACCTTATCCCTTAGTAAAAGACAGGAAATATCTGAAACGTATGCGTGAACCTCTGTAAATAGCAGGTTGCTGCAGACTTTATCACTGTAGAGAAAGCGTATGTGTCATTTAAATAATGCCCAAACACCTACGCCACACCTGTTCTGGTGAAACGTGTTGTTTTAGGACAGAGAGAGATTTCTATTGGTTTTCATAGTTCCAATAAAGCATATTACAACGAATATAAAATTATATATGGGCAGTTAGGGTAATTTGCAACTGTGCCACACAATTTTAGAAAATAAACGAGAATGTTATCTGGAAAAAAGTTCAGAACTAAACCTTTTATCTTATTACTTTTTTCATACCCACTTGTTAAATGCTACGTTATCTTAAAAATACACCTCTAATGGTAAAATCTGTTTTCTGGTAAATTGGTCTACTTGAGTATTTCTTCTTGCGTTTAATCCCTTTTTATTCCAGAAGTTTGGTCCTTATGGGGTTAAATATAACAATTGAAGCCCTAACTTTAAACTTATTCTGAAATTGTACAGTCATCCCACGGAGAGGACCAGGTGACCTGCCTAATACACGTGTTCCGATTGGCCAGTCTTTTGATTATTTACTCTATATTGTGCTGTTCATTAGGTTGGTGGCAGTGATCAACATGGTTCCTGAAGAAATTATTATTATTATTATTTATATATAAGATGCTGTGACTCTCCCTGAGCCTTGATATAAATCTGAAATGCTAAACATTTTTTGGTCAATACCTGGGTCTGTAATAAATATTGAGGTGTATAAAAACGAGCTTCCTGAATTTGTTGGTATATTTTTTTTTTTTTTTTCCCCTTCATGATTTAGCAGCATTTAATTAATTTATATTGTCAGAGTGAAACCTGCAACCATAATTATGTATTTAAGTGTCCGTTATTGCCTGAGCGGTGGTTGGTTTATGGCGTTCCTTCAGAAAGTTCACACATTTTACTGAAATGCAATATTGCCACATTTTTAGATGCAAAACCTGTTCTTGTAAAGACATAAACCACTGTACTTGTTGTGAGCCCCAGGGTAAGAGGTAGCGTGTGACACAAAAGTTATAACTCTCCTACTCCCATTGTTTAGTTCTACATCAGTCTGGCACTTAATGGGTTTAGTACAGGACAAGGACACCTGACTACATATTACATAAGGGATGGATGAGCACTGTCTAAGGAATTGCAAATATAGTAAATGGTTTTGAACAAAGAGATACCTTATCCCTTAGTAAAAGACAGGAAATATCTGAAACGTATGCGTGAACCTCTGTAAATAGCAGGTTGCTGCAGACTTTATCACTGTAGAGAAAGCGTATGTGTCATTTAAATAATGCCCAAACACCTACGCCACACCTGTTCTGGTGAAACGTGTTGTTTTAGGACAGAGAGAGATTTCTATTGGTTTTCATAGTTCCAATAAAGCATATTACAACGAATATAAAATTATATATGGGCAGTTAGGGTAATTTGCAACTGTGCCACACAATTTTAGAAAATAAACGAGAATGTTATCTGGAAAAAAGTTCAGAACTAAACCTTTTATCTTATTACTTTTTTCATACCCACTTGTTAAATGCTACGTTATCTTAAAAATACACCTCTAATGGTAAAATCTGTTTTCTGGTAAATTGGTCTACTTGAGTATTTCTTCTTGCGTTTAATCCCTTTTTATTCCAGAAGTTTGGTCCTTATGGGGTTAAATATAACAATTGAAGCCCTAACTTTAAACTTATTCTGAAATTGTACAGTCATCCCACGGAGAGGACCAGGTGACCTGCCTAATACACGTGTTCCGATTGGCCAGTCTTTTGATTATTTACTCTATATTGTGCTGTTCATTAGGTTGGTGGCAGTGATCAACATGGTTCCTGAAGAAAGTTATGGAATACCAGACAAATGTTGCAGGACTCCACGAGCTGCGAGACGGCATCAGCAGGATGACAAACGGAACCAGGAGAGGCCAGGTCTAATGGGAGAGCCCACTATCCCAATCCAGAGTCAGCCATTTGCTAATAAATACACCATGTCACCGGGTCATGAACTGGGAAGGTAAATCCATTATTTTAAACTCTCTCCAGATTGATATTTGTCATAACTAATCTTGTGAGATGCAGACATGCTGTTTTTATTGTAACTAAACAATCCAGGGGTATCACAAACCGGTCTTAAAATTCTGGAAAAAGGGATTTTAGTGTTGTGCTGTATTATGGTCACATCACTTAAACCGTGGGACAAAACATTCTTCTACTTGAAATTGGAATATGTAGCTCTGTAAAACCTATGATTTAAAGCAGCTTAATGGGACACCGTAGGCACTGTATCTGCTTCATCTCATTAAACTGGTTATAGTGTATGGAGTCCCCTGGTGCCATCATTTCTTTCAGCATTAAACAGTTTTTAATGTTGTAATGTTTTAATGCTAAACAAGAGATCCCGGCAGTCCATCCCCTCTGTGCTGCTTTGGCTAATAAGGACGTTTTACCCTGAGCAGCAATGGTCAGCTGTGATTGGCTGAGAGTGTCAGCTGACTGCTTTTAAACTGTCAGAGCTCCAACTGACGGTATGACAACAAGGAAGTGTGTAATCTCTGCCTTAGCTACACATACAGAAGGGGCCGGACTGTGGGTGGCCAGGGACTCTTATTTTGTGGCATACTGCACGAACATGGTGCAATACTGAATGGAGGGACAGTGCCAGGGCACTCCAGGCACTATAACCAATTCAAAGAGACAAAGTGGTTATAGTGACTACAGTGTCCCTTTAAGTCATCCCCTCCCGCCACTCCAAAATAAATGTAAAATGTGGAAGAAATACTTGCGTTGACTAAGTTTGGAATTTTCAACCCAGTTAGGGGGGCAAAAAAAGCTCTTTCTATGGAGGATCTTACTGTATCCTTCGTAAACGTTAATGCTGTACTCTTACGCACACGCGAGAGTACAGTGCTGATGTCTGCTCCTGACTGCTGAAGAGGACTGAACAGTAAAAGATAGCGGCACCTGCAAGTTATAAGTAAAACCTTCCTTCCCCTGTCCCCCCCGCCATGGCCATCTTATCCGTAGTGGCCATGCAAAAACCTGGGTATTTACAAATTATGCAAAGACCCCAGACCATGACAGAGCTGCTTTCAAAGTAAAACTTTGACATTTAATGCAGACGGCTATAACAAGGAAGTACATGGTTTTTAAAGGTATACCGGGGCATGGGGAAATTGCATAAGCATTTGAAGGATCAGTAGAGTTAAAACCTATTTTAATGGAGAATATTTATGATCCTATGAGAACACGTTTTAGTTGATTTTGAAGGGCTCAGACATCTTAACTAGTGTCTGTCGTTCTGGTTTTGAGGGCGGCCAACGTGTCAGACATTGTAGATTGTCCGTAAATATTGACCGAATAGTGTCTCCTAATGAGTAGCTGTTACCTTTTCTTCCTTTGCTGTGCTCTTTGATTCTGGGTATTAAAGTCCTCTCTGTGTTGGTGGTTTGGTATTTGCTACTTTTTAATGTTCACTTTGTTACCATTTTTTTTAAAGAAGAGCTGTCACTTTGTTCTTTAAAGTGACAATTCCATCCCACAGCCCAATAAATATAGCTGAAGTGTTTTATTGTAGCGAGCAGTGGATGCAAGAATAAAACCACTTGCCAACGCAGCAACTCAAGATGTGAGCACTGCTATGTCCCCATAATGCTCCCTTGTATACCCAGGAGCTACCTGCTAGGAATGTGCTGGCAATGTCATATGAGCACACGGGCATTCTTTCTGTAGTGCTAATAGTTCCTATTCCTAAGTGAGAAAACTCAAAAGGGTTAATTGACAGGAAGTTACTGAAATCAGATCTCAAACATCAGTCCTCTTCTCTCCCTTTTTTAATGGCCCCTGTCAACATTTCATCCAAATTAACATTTTTACTTGTGGCTATGTTTATATATAAATGTAAAGTCAGTGTGCATGAGTTACTCATCATTTTTGACATTACATGTTTGCTGACTTAATGGGGCCTTTCCTTTTGAATATATTTTGTGCTTTCAGTGACTCGGTACTTACACTATTCCATAAAATGGAGTTCTGAATTCTAGTAAAATTGTTAATGTGTTAGAAAAATGGTGATGAGAGTGCGACTCTGATCATTAAATTTAGTTGATCTAAACTATTGCTCCAATAATGCTGATTGGTTTTCAAAGTTATTCACATATATGTTTTTGTTTGTTTTCGTGCCTGTGTGAGGGGGAGGGAGGGTGGGGGTGCTCCTCTCATGTGAGTACAAATGGAAATAGTGTATACTGTACTTTGCAATTAAATGGTCTGTGCAGAATACATCTGTAATAGGAAGCCTGTCTAATATGGCTTGTTTAAAGCTTTATACAGCACAAGCTTTTGGGAGGCAGGGGTGTGTGTGTGTATCTTTCTATCGATTGCTCCTCTTTTAGGAACTTTGCTCACTTGTTAGTGTCACTTTAATACATATTTGATTCTGTTGTTTTAAATTTTATGTATTCTGTTACACCAGTCATTTCTCAAAAAAATGCCCAAATGCATCATTTTGCTTTTCTGCACATTTTTAGTGTTCTGACATTTTGCTTTGTAAAAGGCAAGCTGTACAGTTATCTGAAATACTGCTTTTCAAGTCTATTCTGTTCTCTGTGTTATCTGTAGAAAGTCCCCATGCGGAGTTGGGTGGCGGACAACAGATTTCATGTTGTCAGTGGACTTTGTGTTTAGCGTTTCTGTTGGGCACGGGTCCCAGATTGTTGCGCTTTGTACAACAAACGACTCTGCTTACTTTGTGAAATTTTTATCAATGCTCCAGATGTGGACTTAGCAGTAAATGAGATGTAGGATATTACCCAGCACAGCATGGTTTGTCTCAAATTCTGAGCTAAAAAGGTTTTGTTGTTTTTTTTTTTTGTATTTCTTTATTTTAATGGGGGCCCTACATCTAAAATAAAACCGGATGTAAAGCATACAAGATGTATTATTTCTAACGTACATGTGTTCCTTTTAGTCTGTATATTTGATGCTTTAAAGAGCGCAGTGTGTAGATTGAATCTGTCTAATTCAAAAGTGATGTTGTCATTCTTTGACTTTCTAAACCTACAGGTTTATTTATAAGGATTTCACAATCATCATAGTGGAGAATTATTTTCTTTTTTTTTTCTTTTCCCTTTTAAACTATACCAAACCAACATGACTTCCTGTGTATAGTTTTAAAATGCCAATTAAACTGGATATTTACCTTGGCTGGATATTTACCTGGATATATCACCTTGGTTGCACAAAGTTCGTGTTAAACTACATTCCGCAGTTTTTACTCCCACATTTTATAGTGAGCATGCCATGGCTACAGGTGGTAAATGTCAGTCATCACTCATGTTTGTTGCCATCTGTAGTGATGTGCAGCTAGATCATTCTCATTTTGACAAAGGAGTAGGTGTTCAACTCTAGCCACAATCCTTGGGTGCTCTCTTGGTACCAATAACAGTTGCACATTTTTGGGATGCTCTGCTCCTGTAATATATAGCATGTGGTGTGTTTTATACCTGGCTGAACTGTGTTTGAGTGTATTTATTTTCAGTGCTCTAGTAAATGCATGTTGAATGTATAAATCACATGAACTGTCAGCATGGCAATAATTTGTGTTTGTACAATTAAGGCAGTATTTGAAGGGAATAATGTATTATTTGCATTATCTCTGTCTCTAGAAAATTAAAAAAATATTTTTAATATGTGAAGTCCCAGCTATTGATACATCCATGGAGAATGCTGACTGCCATTTTGTAGACAGATATATACTTTTTTTTTTTTTTACACTTCTGTTAGGTCAACAGCAGAAGTAGATATGTGAAGGATTGGTCGTAAAGGAATATGGTGCTAGTTTTTACAAAGAATGAGTCACTGATTGGCTGAAAGCATCAGCTTACCGCTCTCAAACAATCAGTGCTGGTTCTGCAATAGCCTTCCTGTTTAACGATTTCTTAGAACTGAAGGACAGAGAGTCAGGGAGATGGAACACATACATTGGGGTTATTATTATTTATAAAGCACTAACAAGTTCCATAGCGCTGTACAATGGGTGGACTAACAGACCTTCTCGAACGGTTTAAACACTTAAGGTGATCCAATGCTGGGGACCTCCTGGTACCATGACAACTTCATTTTGATTAGGTTGTTATGGTGCCCATAGTGTTTCTAGTTTCCCTTTCTTAAATTTTTATATATATTATTTTTTTTTATTTTTTATTTTTTTCATTTAACCAAGAATGTAAATTATGCTTTTTAGCTAAACCAGATGGGATGCTTTGGTTCACTAATTTTAAAGGTAGAGTGTAAGCTTTAAAATTACCTCCTTTTAATGAAGTTACTTTGGAGGCTTAGTTGCTGCCTCTGCTTTGATACAGTGCGGTTTTTTAAAAACAGGGCTGTGTTTTTTTGTTTTTTTTTATATATATATATATATATATATATATATATATCAGTGCTAATTCTGTTATTCAGACAGTGACTAGGCTAAGGGCTTCAGACCGGTTCAATAATTGCTGCAAAGTAAATGGGTATGTGTCCAGTAGTGCACATAGAGCCTGCGCATGTGAAGTGACAAGTCTCTCCTAGAGCTGTATTACAGATGTTTAATTGCAATATTTAACTTGTTTATTTCTATGGGGCATGGGAGCATAAATCAGGATAAAGGAACACAGGATTAAAGGACCACTATAGTGCCAGGAAAACATACTCGTTTTCCTGGCACTATAGTGCCCTGAGGGTGCCCCCACCCTCAGGGACCCCCTCCCGCCCGGCTCTGGAAGGGGGAAAAGGGTAATAACTTACCTTTTTCCAGCGCTGGGCGGAGAGCTCTCCTCCTCCTCTCCGCCTCCGTTACGCCCCGCCGGCTGAATGCGCACGCGCAGCAAGAGCTGCGCGCGCATTCAGCCCGTCGCATAGGAAAGCATTTACAATGCTTTCCTATGGACGCTGGCGTGATCTCACTGTGAAAATCACAGTGAGAAGCATGCAAGCGCCTCTAGTGGCTGTCAATGAGACAGCCACTAGAGGATTAGGGGAAGGCTTAACCCATTCATAATTATAGCAGTTTCTCTGAAACTGCTATAATTATGAAAAAATGGGTTAACCCTAGAAGGACCTGGCACCCAGACCACTTCATTAAGCTGAAGTGGTCTGGGTGCCTAGAGTGGTCCTTTAAACCTTTTATTGTTATCTTTCTGATTAACATTTAATAACAAATATTGAAAACAAGAATCATCTGACCTTAACGAGTGTGCATAGCACATTGAACAGTTTTGTGGCTTTTGATATGGTTTAAGAGAAGAAAAATCACATGTAGCACATGTGGTCTATAGATTTCCATTGTATGTTTTTTGTTTTGGTTTTGTTTTTTGGGTGGAAGGAGTGGAGATTTTTTTCAGGCAATAAGCGTAATTGATTTATTTTGCCAATTATACAGCATAAACCATTGTATTGAATAACGTGTTTGGTGTGTGCAGACATATGTTTAACAATGCATTTACTATCTACTGACTTAAGGTGAAAATAGTTTTCAGTCATTCTTTTCCATACCATAACTATGTTTGTGCTCCACTTGTAGTGTTTTGAAAAGACTTGGCTATGTGCAAGGTTTGTTTCACTTCTCTAATGCTGCCACATTAAAGAATCCAACAATTGGTTATCAGGAAAGTACTGGTTTTGGGGGTCTCTCTCCTTTTTTTTTTTTTTTTTTTTTAATCAAAATTGGATTTTCACTGCTTGTAATTTTTCAAGCAGTGATTTTTGTTTTTATTAAAAAAAACATTTTTTTTTTTTTAATGAACTAAAAATACATATATCTCCCAAGACTCTACGTACCATACCCACTATAAACAGGCTGCAGACAAAGGCTCCTTGCCTTGCCACAGTAGGCTGCAGTGATTATAGTGTTCTATTCATGGGGCTCTCCAAAGCATTATATATGTATTCACCCCCAATTTTATTGAACATCGACAAAAATCAAACGAGCGATCTAAACATTTCTGGGGTTGCAGTATCTCTTGTAGAAAGAACCTGCATGATTTCTTTAATAATTACCTAGAGTACTAAGCTCATGCTGTGCTTCTCATTGATATTTTCCTTACTGGCACAAATGAGGCGAAATATTTTTTGAGTACCGTTTGCTCAGTGTGTAATGTATGTGTGAGAGGGCATTAGTTGCAAAAGTATTACAATGGTTGGAATAATACATACAGGGCTTCCGTTTTGTCAGAAAGCAAGAAGCACTTTGTCCAATGGGAAATAAACAAGCTGTCAGCCTTCTATAAACACAGCGGATATATCCTTTGCTTTAACCAGGAGTTGTCATTGATAACAGAGGCCCGTGGTGGATTCTGTGTCTGGGGAAGCAGACTGATCAATTGCTGGTTATTCAACACATGCTTTACATGATCACGCCAAGCCTTTGATCAGTCTGCTGCAAGAAAAAGATGCTCAGTGTAAAGGTTTTAAGCAGTTCTGATGTAACCCAATCAAACGGCTATGAAAAAGCATTCCTGTCTGTTAATCCTTTCTTTTTGTAATCCTTGGGTGAATTGGGAGACCAAGGGATGGATTTAGCTAGTGATGGCAGCGGTAGTGAGTAATTATTAATGGGTGATAATGCTATGCATTGCAAGGCTTTTTACAAAGATAACCTCCTGCTAGTTACATCTATTATATGCAAATACTTCCCATTTGTCATTGTCCAAATGCAGGAAATCTGTTAAAAATATCAATATAAATTAGCACTTCTGTTCCCTGACTGAGACTCCCTGTCCTAATTAATGGATATCCATTAAAACAGTGTCCCTTTAGTCCTCCCAAGTGTCAGGCTGCCCGCCTTCACCTTTTAAATAAAAATACTAAAGTTTCCTTTCCTTTTTCACCAGTGGTGAGTACTCTCTCTCAATGCATTGACTTGCTGAAGTGCTTTTGTGGTTTGGAGTGCCCCTTGTTGCATCAATAATGGCCATAAATGCCATAATCACTGCAGCTTATTGCTGTGGTGCAAGGAGTTTTTAAATTGCAGCCTGTGTATAGTGGTTATGGTGCATAGAGTCTTTGGGTACAGTGCCACTGTTTTTGTCCCACTGTCTTTCGTTGCTAAAGCAGATTGACAAAACACTGCAAGGCACTGCACCCAGAAATGGTTCACCCCAAAACCAGAACAATAAGCTGGAATTGCAACCTGTAAGCTTACTGGAACCTCCACAGCAGTGCCTTGAGCAGCATCGGTGTCTGCTAACTTGTTTGACCAATCATAGTTGGGGAATATGAGCTTATGCCTTTTGGCTAGTGTTGAAGTATGATTAGAAGATTCTAAGAAATGGGTCATGCTTGCAAAGCATGTAAAAAATGTAGTATTCTGCAATTTGAGAAAGCTGAGTATTCTGCAATTTATTTATTGGCAAGGGCCTCATCTCCAGCTAAATTTCTCATCATGGCCTTTTTTTGCCCATTGTATAGATCTGCAGATTATTGAATATAGACTTGGCATTACATTTTATCTGCTCAAGGGAACATTGTGGTATTAACTAATATGGGGTGCAGATCATTTTAAAAGTTCCTCGCGTTTCCAGCTTTGAGATAGTGACTCTTAGCGCTGGCTGCGATGCTCCACGTAATTTTTGGAAGCATCAGGATACTGCAAGGGAGCTCTTAATGGGACATTTCTGCCTCCTCACAGCTGGCTAGAGCTTTAGGCCCAGGCCAAACACCTTATGGGTAATGTGGCTCTGGGTAGAATTACAATAATTGTAAAGGGTAAAATGCTTATCATACGGTTGCTTGGAGGGTTTTTATCTTTATAGTCTGTGTCTTTTATAGATTTTGCCTTTTTATACAATTCAGTCTCTGTAGCTGGAATAATACAAACTTAATGCTGTTGTATAGATAAACAAAAGTAAGCGTATACAATATGAATAATCTCAGAACCTTGGCATGTGTGGGAAAGAAACCAAAGTAGTATACCTTGTTTGGATTGGTGCCAATAATAAATAGCATGAGCAGTGTTCGTAGTGGTATGCACTGAAAAATCTACCATACATAGTCCTCTGTAGACGTACAATTGTTTCAAAACTTAAAGGGACACTATAGGCATCCGGACCACTTCAGCTCATTGAGGTGGTTTGGGCGCAGTGCCCCTGTCGGTTTAACCCTGCAATTGTAATTATTGCAGTTCTTGATACACTGCAATAATTGCGCTGCAGGGTTAACTCCACCTCTAGCGGCTGTCTACAAGACAGTCACTTGAAGCTCTTCCAGGACTCCAGGTAAACCATTCTACAGTGTGCTGTAGTGGTTATGTTTTGGTCTGTTTCTTTAAGCTCTGTTTTAAGTAGAGTTCCATTTAAATACTTCCATGGTTCTTAATAAACTGCTGAATAAATGTATTGTCCATTTCTTGTCTTTTTTTTCTTCAACGCAATCAAGGTGATTGTATAGTAAACAGTAATTGTTACTTTGGCATGTTTATGCCACTTTATTTCACTTTTTTTTTTTTATTATTTTTTTTTTTTTAATCATCAGTCATGTTGATCAGTATTGCTCCGAGCATGATTTGAGTTGGATGTGGACACATCTTCTGACTTTCACAAATCTTATACGTATATGCACCTAGATATTGTCCATAGGCCTCTACTGCCAAACAAGATGCCCCTAATGTCACTCATCATTAACAGCTGACATTAGAGGGCTTTGCAGCACTGATTTTATAAAAAAAAAAATAAAAACATTTATTTATGTATTTTTGTTTAATGTATATTAATGTTTACTTTAGAGCATATTTGGTACTAGACAGAATCTCAGGAAGTCCGAATGACTATTGTTTGCTTTTGCTGTGTAGTGCTAGTCTTAAACACTCTTTCATCCTTGCGGTCTCCAAGAGCGTAAAAATATTTTAAGTGCTCCATGGAAACGCCTGTCAGAGAAACACGGGATTGGCCAGCCGTCTAACAAGAAATCCCCATTTCTCACAATCAATCCTTTAAATGCCAAGTTGTTCTGTAGAAACCACTGTAACATGCTTCTGGCACACTTTGATTTGATAACGTTCAATTTCCCATCACTCCAATGGCTCTCAGGCTCCTGGAACCAAAGCATATCATTGTGTTTCCCCCCCCATTGTATTTGCAATACGTTGATGCTGCGATGGTTAACACAGAGTGACAGAGCTCTCTATTTTCAGTTTCATTTCAACCATCATTGCATTAGTCCTTATGATGCCTATTCAAGCCACTGGATGAAGCCCACTGCAAGCTTTAGATCAGGGGACAGTTGCGCATTTCTTATTGGTATGATTGTGTAGTGTCTGTACCTGTTTGAAGAGAATAAGAACACAAAGGTGTGTGTGTGTGTTGTAGATTGGATTAGTCCAGTAGACAAGATGCCAAAAATACCAGAGTATTGCAGTATACATAGTTACACAGCTGAAAAGAGATTTGCGTCCACCAAGTTCAGCCTTCCTCACATATGTTTTTGCTGTTGATCCAAAAGAAGGCAAAAAACCTAATCTGAAGCGCTTCCAATTTTGCATCAAACTAGGAAAAAAATCCTTTTTGACCCCAAAATAGCAGTCAGATGTCTCCTTGGATCAAGCAGCTATTACCCCATTAATTAGAAATTATATCCCGGTATGTTATGTTTTTGCAAGTATTTATCCAATTGTAGTTTAAACATCTGTATGGACTCTGATAAAACCACCTCTTCAGGCAGATAATTCCATATCCTTAATGCTCTTACTGTAAAAAAAAAAAAAAAAAAACCTGCAATGATCTTTTTTTATTTTATTTTTTATTATTTATTTATTTATTTTTATTGGACTAACCTAATATTTTCAAAGACAAGATTTCGAGAGTTTTCCTCTCTTCCTCAGGTCTGAAGCAATACTGATCAATCTGAGTTAAACACTTAAAACAACTGATGTTAGAGGAGGGAGTGAGTGGGGTGTCATAACTGTGTGTGGTCAAATGCATCCCTTACTGATCACCTTCTTAAACTGGAATTGGTTAAATGTAAGTATCGTTTACGTTTGGTTATGTGGAGGTTATTGCACACATAATAAGCCAACCATAAACAATTAACTATCAGGAAAATGCTTTAGTCTCTCTAGTGAGTCATGCTACTTACCCCTTATGATTAATGTGAGTTTGCAAGCTTTAAAGCCAGTTTAGCTTAAGGAAATAAAGTGGCACTCGGGCTGATGTTACAAATTGGAAGCATACCTAGCATTTGGCCTATCAGCTTATTAATGTTCTCTTCGCTCCTTGTTTTCTTGGGTTTTGAATTCAGAAGTGAAAAATATATGCTAGAATTACTTCCTTTTTCTCCCTCTTCCCTCCCTCACCAAAGGAACAAAAAATACATTGTGATCTAACTCTGTGGCTGCAGATTGTCATTGGTCTTTAACCCCTTAAGGACCAAACTTCTAGAATAAAAGGGAATCATGACATGTCACACATGTCATGTGTCCTTAAGGGGTTAAAGGACCACTATAGTGCCAGGAAAACATACGCGTTTCCCTGGCACTACAGTGCCCTGAGGGTGCCCCCTACCTCAGGGTCCCCCTCCCGCCAGGCTCTGGGGAGAGGAAGGGGTTAAAATCTTACCTTTCTCCAGCGCCGGACGGGGAGCTCTCCTCCTCCTCTCCTCCTCTCCTCCTTCATAGCGACGTCATCGGCTGAACCGATGACAATGTTTCCTATGGACGCTGGCGTCTTTTCACTGTGATTTTCAGTGATAAGCACGCAAGCGCCTCTAGCAGCTGTCAATGAGACAACCACTAGAGGCTGGATTAACCCTATTATAAACATAGCAGTTTCTCTGAAACTGCTATGTTTATTTAAAAAAGGGTTAACCCTAGCTGGACCAGGCACCCAGACCACTTCATTAAGCTGAAGTGGTCTGGGTGCCTATAGTGGTCCTTTAAGTATTTACCAATATGTTATGTTGTAATGGGACTTGAGCACATGCGCTAGAGATTGTTGTACATACAGTAGTTCTGTTTCCTTTAGCCGGCTGTGGGTTCTGGTTTTAAACGCTACTCGCTTCTTTAATATCTTATCCTAGCCTGGGGGACTACCTTGGGCAATGCAGTTAAGTTGGTTTGCATTTTGTGCCATATACTTTAACTAAAAAGGCTTTGTGTTCTTACTATTCACTAAACAGGAAACTGTAATTTCAGGCAAGCAAAGCTTAATTTTTTTTTTTTTTTCTTTCTTCCCAGGTTTGGTATAAAATGTGCAGTTCCCTTGCCCATTCTCCACGGTTTTCTTTCCGTGGTGAAATATAGAGCAGTCTGTACTTTTAAAGTGTTAAGATTTGGTTGTTATTTAACGTTAGCGTGACACTGTGACAATCTTGTGATGGGTGTATGAACTATAGTCTTCTTTCGCCTGAGGAGATGATTTGCTTGTATCTATCAATTGATATTTGTTACTGTCTGTAGTGTACATCGTGGATATTGAGATATATTGCCCAATCATGTAATACATTCCTCATACATGTGACTGACCTCATCATCCTTTCACAGTGGGTTAGTCTGCTTTAGCTGGAACATGTAAGCAGCGACACACTTCCAAACTATTCTAGTGTTACGAATAAATTTGCTTCCATCCAAACTGTTTGTTTTATATTACATTTCCACTCTTCCAAAGGATGTCATCATTGCTCTGTTACTCACTTTGAAAGTTAACATGTTCATGTAGAATTTAGCAGCTATTCTAGTTTTTTTGTGTAAAAATAAAATTAAAATAAAATATATAATATATATCTCTATCTATCTCCTTTTTAATTAACATTCAGCGTTTTTTTGCAGCATAAATGTTTATTTTAATTAGAAGTTTGTTTGTTTTACAGCAGATACCGGTGATGGGTTTCACACTTTCAAAACAGAGAGAGCCTTTTTTCTGGAATAGAACATACAAGAAATAGAATCAGTCTTGTATCAGTAAAGTTACTCTCTATTTGTTACAAATCCCTAAAGTTACATTAGATGTGGGGGGATGAGGGGGGTGATTGATTTTAACCCCTTAAGGACACAACTTCTGGAATAAAAGGGAATCATGACGGAATATTTCCGTCATGTGTCCTTAAGGGGTTAAAGAGACACTTTGCGCTCTTATTGGACATGCACATACAAAGTGCATGCAAGTCTGTACGATTGCTTTCTTTCTGTAGGTGAACCTGTGCAGCTGGATCACTAACATAATTGCCACAAACTGTTTAATTTGAACATTTTGCTATGTGGTAAGCGAATAGAAGCAGCTGCTATTTGATTGCACAGAAGTTTAATTTTTGTTAGTTTCCCCCCTCCCTATATCCATGGGGGAAAAAATGCTTGTGCTGCTCGACACAACTATCCCTCGAAAATCCTGGTAGGACCATCACTAGCAAACAAATCTGAGTGCAAAGTGCATGCAAAGTGTGTGTTTGGGGGTGGTCTCCGCACTGTATAGTCATTTTAATGGTTGGTTTTGTTTCCTTTCTGTTTAATGGAAAAGGGGGAAAAAAAGCTCCTACCATGCATCTTGCATGTCTTCCCCCAGGCCACTGCACCCACCTTAACCAGGAAATGGCATCTGCAGTGTATCACTGTATGAATCATAGTAAATCATTTTAACTTTACGCCTGGCTGGATTGTGCATGCATCAACAGATTTCATTGACTCATATCAAGAAAGTCTCTTAGACGTTTCAATGGTATCCTTAGTGGTTCATAGTCCTTTTTTTTTTATTTTTTTTTTAATCAACCACGCAATTTGTTTCACGCACACAGCTGTCTTATTTTTGATGTGTGTATTAATATATGTAAGTGAACTTCCTGTTTTACCTCCTTACCTGCTAGTAATGTCAATTCTGTGCAAAATTGTCAACTGGTGCTAGCACAGACAACACTGTTTTGTGTATTTAAATATGTATTTTATTCATTGAGGTTATTTCTAAAAACTTGCAAAACCTATAGTTCACTTGTCTTGCCTTTGCAAGCCCTCCCCTTCTATCCCCACCCAGACTTTCTGTGACTGTCCAATCACAGACTTCCCAATGCAGCTCTGTGGTGTTCGTAGTTGGAGTAATTCTTAAAGTGTTTTTGTTTTTTTGGCTCCCCTCTCTTTTCAGTTTGGCTCGGGGGGAGGCCAGACCAGCGCACAGGGGGTTACTACAACAAACAACCCTTGAATGTTTCATGAACCCAATATCTATCTATAGCTATCTTGTTCATCTGCTTGTGTATCTCATTATAACGAGGTTTCACCAGTAACCAGTTCCATAAGTTCTGAATTCCATCATGGAATTTGACAGGTAAAAGTATTTCACTGTGAGCATAGATAGTGTAGTTAAACTGAATTTGACTTTAATATTAAATTCCTGCTAGCAGGGGTTCAGAGGCACTCATCCACTACACATGGCTTTGTTTTTATAGCTTAATGTATTTCCGGCACTTTCTATAGCAGACTATACATACTGCTCCCCTGAGTAGACTGTCTGTTTGTTTATATGTGTAAATCTTTGTACTCCCGGATTTTAAAAGCTTCAGTAGTATAGACTTGGCAACCATATAGCTTCAAACTCTTTCCCAGCATGCTTCCATCTTTTCAAGCATGCAGGGATTCAGATTGGATTAATCTGTGTTTGCATATCTACTTGCGCAGAAGTAGGTCACATACAATGCAATCAGAGCTATTGAATGCCCAGCTCTTTATGTCAAAGTATGACTTCATGTACTAAAAATGTGAAGGACAAAACAATGTTTACATTTGTCTGGTTCCATGGTGGTAGCTGTTTTTGTTTACATAGTTTTTTTTTTTTTTTCTTCTAAACTTTGCAAAAGTTTTGATTCGTTATGGATAATCTAGCTATATTGTTCTTTGATTTTGTTGCCAGAATTTAAAAAAATAAAACTCAAAACCTTTCTATTGCATGCATTTTGTTTTCATAATTGTGATTGTATGTGCTTGCTTAATTTTTTTTGTACATCTTTAAAGAATCAGTGTTGGGCCCCATAACCATCATAGTTTTATTATATTTGTTATGGTGCAAGGAGTTGGGTGTAATCCTTTTTTTAAATTTTTTTTTTGTTTGTTTTGTTTACTGTATGTGTGGAATTGGAGGGAGCTAGTGTCTGTTCCATGGATCTGAAAAGTCCAGAAATTAAAAATGTGGTTGTGCCAGAACGGCAGCGATAACTAAGCAGGAGCTTGATATAACCCATTGATCGGTACCTCATTAGATTACACCCCTAGTGTTCAGTGTATCATTAGAATCCATATTTGTACGAATGACTGTGGGCAATTCGTTGTCCTCCCTAGGAGTGAAGAATGTCTTTTGGGGCTGTCCCAGCCATTGTATTAAAGCTGCAACATAAATACCATACTATAATAATTGTGGGCATTATGGCAGGGCTTGACAAATTTGTTTGGAATTTGGGCGCCAGCTAAAAAAGTTAGGAGCAGTTTATTTTGTTTTTGTTTTTGTTTTTTAAGGGACACTATAGTCAACAGAACCACTACAGATTAATGTGGTTATTCTGGTGCCTATAGCCTGTCTCTGTAGCCTTTTTAATGTATACACTACCTTTTCAGAGAAAAGGCAGTATTTACATTGCTGCCTGCTAAAACCTAAGAACGTGGTCGAAGTTACCCGGTTACTCTGCAACTGTAGTGTGCGGAGCAGTAGGTCGTCATTTTTCATGCATATTCCATCTTTCTCTATGACACATCTGGCAACTGATATGGCACTGAATTGGATCAATGGTTTCTGGGTTGAGAACTGGTAGTTGTATTGACGATGGAATTTTTACATTATTTTTGATAGGTATTAAATGGTTATTAGTGTTTTCTTTTATGAGAGCAGTGCAATTAATTTGTAGTGTAATTTCTCAATCTGTACTTCTCTCTCGAGCAGTAGTGTTATCATGCAGGTGGAGGCATGATGGCAGACCCAATCAGCAACTGTACCAACCTTGTAAGCTGCTATGTATGTATTGACATCACGCAAATGTGGCCAAACTCAAAAGTTTAACCATTCTGTGAAATAGAACTGAAATTATTGGCCTGTCTGAGACAACTAAATTGGCTCCAGCTGGCAGAAATTCCTTATTTCTTATTGGGTTCACCTTAAAGGAAAGGAAGGAAGTGATGGGGATTGGACCACAATATTGATCAAGCACATGATCTATACAACATTGTTACACTAGAATATCGCCTTCACTTCTTTTGTACTAAAAATGGGCATTCACTCTAGAAGTGGGTGTATTCTATTTGTTCCTGAATAACATATTGCTTGGCATACTATTCGGCAACAAGTCCTTTTACTCTGTGCTTTCCATAGTTCTCCAAAGGTTTGATTAATTTATATTGTTTTAACAAGGACTAAACTAGCAAATATTATGTACTGTAAGAGCTGTGTTCCCTTTACTTCTCTCTACTAGAACCTCCACCAAGTTACTGTATCTTCCTAGAGTAATATATGAAGTTATACTGATGACACATAACATTAAGTGATTTTTAGTGTGGGGCTATAGATAAATAATGCAGTTTGTTGTATAACAGATTTGCATTTGTTTTGTTTTTTTCTTATTTTATTCTATAGGCACATTATGTTTCTTGTAGAGGTAATGTACTTATTAACCTGCAAAAGAGTAAATGTTTGCTGATCAGCAGTAGCACTTTGCTGTCTGATTAAGATAATCTTATCTAAAACTCTTCCACTTTTCTTTTGATCTAGAGGAAAGTTTGCTGTAGTGAGGAAATGCGTGGAGAAAGAAACGGATAAAGAGTTTGCGGCCAAAATCATGAGAAAACGGCGAAAGGGTGAAGACTGTCGCATGGAGATCCTTCACGAGATTGCGGTATTGGAGCTGGCTAAGGACAGCCCATGGGTCATCAAGCTTCATGAAGTTTACGAAACAAACTCTGAGATGATCCTTGTCCTCGAATTGTACGTAGAACTGGTGAAACACCTAGTTTTTATAAACTTATTTTGTAGACTCTACTGGCTAATCAGCCATAGCTTAAGTACTGTCTGAGAAATTAGATATGCAGAACTGTGTCATATCTGGTAATATTTGACAGATTAGATGGGGTAGAATTCTGGAAAATGTTTTGCAAAATTTCCAAATGGCAACTTTTGTAGTTTCTACTTTTTGCTATCAATGGGGTGTGACAGTGCAGTATATGAGCATATTTTTTTGCGTGTGCTAGGCATAAGTCCTATGAATGGCTTCCCGTCTCTGAAATATTCTGGATACATTTAACACTAAGAACAGTCCAAATGTAAGAGATGCAGCAACCTCAGATAATCATTTCAGCCTTCTTTGGGCCTTATTATTGGTTTAGGCATAATGGTTTAAGAATAATTAGGCCAATGTCCAGATTGCCTTTTTAAATAGGGGAGATCCTAAGCAAATGCTCTGGAGCGGAAGTTTTAGTGATCTAAAACTTGTGTGGGACTTTAGCCGAGACCAACCTAAGAGCAAACTGGTTTGTCTATTCCCATTGTTTTCAGATTTACTGAAGTTTACTTCAGTATGGTTAGGCGTTTTATAAATTAAAGAGGGATCGAGAGCTAGTTCAGCGTTCTTGCATCTAAAACGAATACTGGACTTTGCAACAATATCTAATTACTCCAAAGAATATATTATTTCTGTGAGACCTTAATCTGTTGCGTTTTACGGTTCTTTTTCGCATCCTTTCTATTGGTGGTAAATAAAGTCCTCATATCGTGTTGTGCAAGTGATGAAATACGTGAATGTCCTTCGTGCGAGTATAGTATTTGCTCTGTAATCTAGTTGTGTGATGTATTTTTTATTTTTTAACCTGTCACTGAAATCGAGGTTAAAGATTAACATGTTCTCATACCTACTGTATCTGAAGAGAGAAATATTGCTTGCTTACAATACACTGCTTTTCATGGACCATGGCAACCACATTCCATTCATTGGAGCTTGTCTAATTTAGTTATCTTGCCCTTTTTGACCAATGATTATTTGAATGTCATTGTTGGGTCTCTCACCTGTGTCACAGAACAGCCCAGCAGGTGTTAATCTTCTAGTATGTAAGCAAAAGGTGGTTAGAAACACTGAACGGTTGTATCTTTAATGTTAAAGACAGAATGTTTCATTGAACAACTTCCCCTGATGATGGCTTCCTATCTCTACTTTTCTTGTTGCCCTATAGGAGTTCCATTCTGTATGTGACTAACATTTCAATTCAATGTTGTAATATGTGGGTTGAAATGTCAGTCCTATTTTAAAATGAGTTTACATTAAAGTCTACAACTTTTAAACCTTGGAAAAACCGTGAGTGCTGGTCATCCCTCTACTCTGCCTATATTGCTTCCCCCAGACTGCGAGCACCCAGTAACTATATTTTGGAGCCTTGGAGTACAAGGATTTTGTGGAAGAAAAATAAAATAAAATATATCTATATCTAGATCTCCAATAAAATTCTTCTCATAGAGAAGCTTTTTATCCAGACCTTCAGTATGAGAAGCATCAGAGGATGTCCAATGCACGAGGACATGGAACGTCACAGAATCTGACTGTCAGGGGTGCAGATGGACCTTTAAGGCTATCTTTCTAAAGGTGTTGCTTAGCCCTACAATGCAAATACAGCTGTATCTCCAAAACGGGTTGGGTTTTTTTTTTTTTTAATTTTTTTTTTTAACCTTGCCGGACCAAAATGACTGGGGCACGAAGCCCAAGTGGTCTGGGTGAATAGAGTGGTCCTTTTTAACTTTGAAATATTACTGTGACTTCTATCAAAGTAGAAAAGATATTGACAATTTGTTTCTTGTGTTTTTAACAATACCCATTTGAGGTCAGAAAGTTACTAGGTTGACAGCCTCTAGACATTCTAGTTATATTTTAGCATTTTACCTCGGATGAAAAAAAAATATAATGATGGAAACCAAACTCCCTCACCCCTTTAATTTTCATAGTGTATAGAAAAACGCACGCGTGCACACACCTAGGCATATTCATTCTGATTCACAATTTTAAACTTGCACACATTTCCTCACACTTGCTCACTCGTCCCATCCTCACCCTTCTACATCTCTCTCTTCTGTCAATGGTGAGGAGGGACAGGAGATTAAGAGATACATCATTTAAGTGCCTGTGTCTAATTGGGCGTGAGCAGTCTTTGCATGCTGCAGTTGCAGAATTCAGATTGGTCTTCCACACTCTTGACTCATGTCATTGAGATGACACATACGCCAGGTATTGTCAGGATTCCATAACTGAGGCATAGTTCAGCTGCCAGGATTACTCTATCAAATCCAGGGGAGATCACCCACACACTTCAGCTTAACTGAGCACCTTTGCAGAGATCTAATCTAATTACACAAATGATCTGGCATCTTTATGTGGTAAATGGCTTATGTTCTAGGGAATAGGGTGTCGAGGTATCCCAGTACAGTACTTGGACTACTTGAGACAGTCCTTGTGTACTGGGAAAACACCAATTGTCTTAGAAACCCATATTTCTGAATTCAGAGTGACAATTGCCATTGATTGCATTATAAATTAATGTTTTCATAGCATATTCATCAAAGTGGATTCATACATTGCACAAGTCAGAGCCTCTGTCACAGTAATGTCTTGCACGTTCTTGAATTAAAAATGAAGTTTCTCTGAAACAATCATCTTGGACTTTTTTTTTTTATTATTATTTTTTCCATGAGTTCTGCTTTCAATTCAACTTTAAATGTTTTAAATGGATTTTAACTTGTATCTGCCATGGTAGCTTCCATTAGTATATGTTTCTGTGTATCTACATCACAATTTAGATGTTAATTTTAGTATTTTTTTTATTTATTTTTTTGGTAACTGCAAAATTGCAACAACAAAACAGTGGTGACGTTCTCCTTATATAGAGGCAGCTAGGGGTGAAGAGAAGATGGTCATATTTACCTGAATTTTTCATCTTGGAAATGCCACCTTCTTGTTGGTCCTGGTCATTAACTATTGATATCTTTGTTTGCCATAAGCGATTCATGACTAAACTCCAATACATGGATGTGCAGAAATGCTATATGATTCTAGGGTCATTGCACAAGTAGATGCTTTGTCCCATCACAAGTGGTGTCTGAAACTTGGCCTATAGTGACCGAACCACTGGGAATAAACTCTCTAATGTTGCACAAGTAACCCTGAAAAAAAAAAAAATACAAACAAACGTAAAACAATAATAAATCCCTGCTACTCATACTTTAAATACTTCTATTCTCCGAGACACCTCGAGACACCTCTGTTTTTTTTTGTGTGACGAATAGGCACTTTGGTTCCACAATAAAACTAGGAAATTAAGAAGAGATTCTCTGAAATGTATAGTTTTATTACTTGAGCATTTATGCTGCTAGGGACTCACAGATTAAAACTTTTTTTTTTTTTTTTTGCTTTGCTGAAATGTTCCTTTTAGTAAACTGAAATTGTAGTAAAATTAGTTTCTCTTCCAGAAAAGGTACCCCTCTCTGAAATGTAAGTGGTGTAAAATACACTTTTTTTTTCTTTTTTGATATTGCTGTAATTAACACAGCTACCTAAAACACTTCTGTTTGCTGTAGTTTGCAATTAGCATGTGTTGCCCCTCTATCCTCTTTCCCCAACCCATGTGCCTAGAGAAGAAAGGGCTCATTGTGAAATAAATTTGTGCCTGGTTTTATGCCCAGTTCTCGCCCACCAAGCAAACAGTTTGTGAAACAAAACTACACTCTGCATCTGTTATTCTCCTGTGCTTCACACGCCATCAGCTGTCACTGTTGGTACCCTGTCATCCTGCACGTCGTCCTTATTCGCATGTCCTGATATTTGGAGGCGATAATTTGCAGGGTGTTCTGTTGATATCCACTGCCTATCTATTTTTTTAAACTAACAAATTTTCAATGACTATTCAATTCTTAAAGGGACCCTATATTCTCCAGAACTACTACAGCTTTAATGTAGTGGTTCTGGTGTTTATATTCTGACCCTGTAAGGTTTTCAATGTATGTAAACACTGTCATTTCAGAGAAACATTGCTTCCTGGTAACACTTCTAGTGACAGTCACTCAGACGGCCACTAAAGGTGATTCTTCGTCTAGTGCAGCACAGTGTGTAGTACCCACCTTTAACTTCTCAACAATTTTTCATGGAAACGCTGAATATTCCCCATACGTATGCATTGAGTAGATGCTGATTTGCACAGTGTGGCATTTTTGTTGCGCATGCACAATACACTCAAATGCTTTCCCATTGTCTGAGATCATCAAAATTGGTGATCTCCGCCATGAAGGCAGGACCAGCCGCGGCAAGTCCAGCATGACGTGGGGTAAAAAGTGCATAAAAAGCATCTTTCCCATGCGATAGAATGGGGACTAGTAACCTAAAACACTTGCGCGCACACACACTTTCTCATGCATTCACAAGAATTGGTAAGAAAAAATATAATTTATAGGAAGAGTTGTGTTCTATCTATTAATCTAGAAGAGGGTAGGCAACCTTCGGGACTCCAGATTTTTTTGGACTAAATCTCCCATAATGTTCTTACAATGTAGTATCGAATGGTATTTATTGTATATTTATACATTAAATTTTTCTAGCCCATCAGTTCATATAAATACCAGAACTCTTCTTAACTGCACTAAAAGATTTCACATGCGATATATGCTGATGCCTTTGGTTCCTGTCTTTATTTCAACCATGACAATAACCCAGTTTGTTGAACATAAAGGGTTAAAGGTCGTCACCGTATAGCCTCCTGCTTTCAGAGAATCCAGCATGCATGGGTGAGATTCCCATCGCTGTTTGCATAGTTTTGTGCTTGTTACATCATTTTGCTCACATGCCCTCAATATTCTGTTTTGTTTCAAACCGCTATGGATAACCGTTCTGTCTACCTTGGCGTAAAATGATTGTATTTCTTTAAATGCGAGGAAATGGCTCACATTTCCTCTTCATATTGTTTTCTATTAACAGGCTGGATAATGGGAACATTATTTTGTTTAAATAGTCAAAGGTTATATTAAAGGGTAACTCCATTGTCCATGCCCACTTCTGACTTTGAAATCTATGTGCTTAAAACACTGGACATCCATAAATATTTGCACTTTTATTCTGGGGGCTAGTTGCACCCCAAGCACATTTGACTTGGCAGTCTGGTACTCATATACATTTTTTTTTTTTTTTTTTTTTATTTTTTTTTAACGTTCACCCAAAGGTATTCAGTAAAGGCCCATATTTATTTTCTGTAATCTGTATTTGCCATTTTCTGTCTCCCTTGTATCTATGCTCTCTTGTATGTGCCTGCCATATTCTGACATTGCATGCATGCATTGATGTTCTGACAATTGGGTTTATTATTATTCTAGTAAGGTTTCCCATGGGAGCATTGCTTAAAACTTATTATTATTGGATGATATGAGATCTGTGCTTCTCCGCTGTCCCTATGTTTAATTTGTGTAATTCATACTGCTTTGGATTTTGTTTAGTGTTCATGCTTACGATTTGTGGGTGCTCTGTGTTTTTGTTTTGTTTTTCCCCTTCCATTAACTAAAAGTGGATTATTAGATAATATATGCTTAAAAAGAATCCATCCATTTACTATGTGATCTTCAGTGAATTTTTAAATCCCATTGTAATTCAGTGAGTGTGCATTATCTTCTCCAAATACAGAGCCTCAATCGGTTCCTAGCAAAAGCAGCCAAATGATGTCAGTGGTTACACAAGCTGTTCACATTGCTCTGGGCCTCCTTCATTGTGTTAGTGCAAATGCCCAATCTCCTGTTTAGAGAAAGTTCTTGAGAGTTGCAGTGAGAAGATGGTGCATTTCTGAATACTTGGCCATTTGTTCAGCTCACTCGGTAAATAGCCTACTTTTGGGCTGATTAATGGATTATTAAAATAGAACACAGATCTGGTTATGTACGGTAGATAAACACATCTGTATCAGAACTAAAAGTCCCATGATGCAATGTAAGAGTGTCTTTTGTGGCTGGCTGAGATAAATGATGACTGTCATTACGGAATATGTCTCTTTGTACAGGTTGAGCTAAACCCGTAACATTAAAACATTACATTATTTCCAAGCACATTGTTACAAAATGGACCACATAATTATGATGTATTTATTGATTATACAAACTTCGCACCGTATACAATGCCGTATTAAAAATGTACTAGCAGTTAACAAGACAAAGCAGGAAGTCTGTGGAAAAGTGATAAATGTCACCCCCTCAACGCTCACTCACACAAATCACTTGCAGAACAAAAGCATATGGATTTATGTGTTGTGGCTGACAATTTAGGCTAGCATTTTAACATAACCAGTTCCTGAGACCTTTGGAATATTTCAGGATAACTACAATCTAAAACAGGAATATCCTCTTTTAATGGCCCCTTTTTTTGATAATCTGTGTGATTTTTTTTTTTTTTGATTTTTTTTTCTTCCCCTCCCACTTAAGTCTTTATTACACTACAAGGGTTCACTTTTTGCCATGTTGCCAGGATGATGTAATATATGTTCCCATAGCCAGATGAGAATTATGTTTTTGCATTTAGTGACCGTGTTTTCATTTGTTTTTTTTTCCTGATATCTTATTAAAATGTTCTTATTGGAACTCCAATATTTCCCAGAATTGCAAGTAAAAAAATAACTATACAAAAATTTTGAGGCCAGTTTGACATAATTTGATTAAATAAAACCAATACAGCATCAAACGGAAGTTTGTTAGGATTTGAAAATAGTTGACATGTACGCTCATATTGATACATTAGTTTTAAAGGGACACTAGAGTCACCAAAACAACTTTAGCTTAATGAAGCAGTTTTGGTCTACAAATCATGTCCCTGCAGTCTCAATGCACAATTCTCTGCCATTTAGGAGTTAAATCCCCTTGTTTATGAACCCTTGTCACACCTCCCTGCATGTGACTTGCACAACCTCCCTAAACACTTCCTGTAAAGTCATTAACAGTTTATCCTTCATTTATTGCAAGTTCTGTTTAATTTAGATTTTCTAATCCACTGCTATGTTAATAGCTTGCTAGACCCTGCAAGAGACTCCTATATGTGATTAAAGTTCAATTTAAAGAGCAAGAGATGTTGGTTTTTTGTTTTTTTTTCTCTCCATGCAGGCTGTGTCAATCATAGCCAGGGGAGGTGTGACAAGGGCTGCATAAACAGAGACAAAGTGACTTACCGTATATACTCGAGTATAAGCAGTTTTTCAGCACTTTTTTTTTTTTTTTTAATGCTGAAAAAGCCCCCCTCGGCTCATACTAGAGTCAGGGTCTGTATTATGGCAACTTACATTGCCATAATACAGAGCAAGCCCGGCGGTCTGGGGGGCGGCAGCAAGCTGTTCCTTACCTTTGCAGCAGCAACGTTCATCTCCCAGTGTAAATCTCGCAAGACCACACACACTGGCTACACTACACACACGCTACACACACACTGCATTCATTATATATACACACTGCATTCATTATATATACACACACGTTGCATTCATTATATATATATATACACACACACTACACACACGCTGCATTCATTATATATACACACACGCACGCTGCATTCATTATATACACACACTGTAAATAGATATTCAATTAATGTAATTTTATTGGGATTTAACTTTATTTAGAAATTTACCAGTAGCTGCTGCATTTCCCACCCTAGGCTTATACTCGAGTCGATAAGTTTTCCCAGTTTTTTTTTTTTTTTTTTGTGGTAAAACTAGGTGCCTCGGCTTATATTCGGGTGAGCAGTCAAACCTGAGAAGCATGATCGATACACTAAAACTGCTTCATTAAGCTAAAGTTGTTTAGGTGACTATAGTGTTCCTTTAAGAGCTCTTTTGTACAACTTTATTTTTTTCTTTTATATAATACAAAGTTACTCTTTATAGCAGTATGTGCTAATATATATATATTTTTATTATCTTTGTGTAGTGCTGCTGGTGGTGAAATCTTCAACCAGTGTGTGGCAGACAGGGAAGAGGCCTTTAAAGAGAAAGATGTCCGGAGGCTGATGAGGCAGATATTAAAAGGGGTGTCCTTTCTCCACCGTCACAATCTGGTGCATCTGGATTTGAAGGTAAGAATCTGCAATGACCTTTAGATCTGCAGTGCTTGCACATCAACTCTTGTCTGACACTAATTTTTGGATAATGTCTTGCTCATCGATCACAATTTTGTTTGGTAATTGCTATTTGGGGTCAACATAACCTGTAATTCGTGTATGTATACTGGAGAGGAGAAACGGGACTTGTCATATGCTAGGGAGATGACATGTTAGAAAGATTGAAAATATTGGTAGTTTCTATAGCAAAGTTGAACATGACTTCTCCCCCCAAACTACTACTTCTCTCATTTTTAGCTTAAATCATGAGCTTTACTCACTTCTTTATAGCAGTCGAAGGTTGATGCTAGATTCAGACTTTGCCTGATAAACTGTAACCACACCGGTGATTAGTCCACCTTTTAGTCTTTTGTTAAATGCCGAACTGACTACTCAGAAAATGGAGTCTGGCGTTAACCCCTCTCCCCCAGGGGCATTGTATATTTTGTGGGGTTTATTATTTTTTTTTTGTTTGTTTCTTTCCTTAAACCTGACTCTTTCTTCGTTGGCATCCGGATTTTTCAGCTTTAAGTTTTAATGCAATAACTTAACAAATATTTGAGATACCTACTTAAGGGCACACTCCAGGCTGACTTACTTACAAAAAAGTTGTTTTTTTTTTTGTTGGTTTTTTTTTTCTTCTTCTTCTCCATTTTATATTCCTCTTTTCATATTTTTGCAACTATAAAGAGCAGAATGCAAGGGCTATGACATGCATGGTTAGATATATATTCTCTCTCAATCCTCACCTGTATGAGTGGAGTATAAGGTCTGTTTGATTTGTAAGCATTCTGAGAAACAAACAGACCCAGCTGGCCTAATGTGTACTAAGTGTAAAAAGTACTTCTCTAATTGATCCAATAGCAGATCTCTCGTGGCAATGCAGGCAACTGCTGATCAAACAAATCTCTTTCTAATTGTTTGACCTGCAGCTCTGAGGCGTCAGCACAAAATGCATTTGGCACTTTGTACGAGGGCAAATTGCTTCTCGAGGCCATTAGGTAAATCATAGTGAAGGCTAATCCAAATACTTAAAATGCCTAATACAGTCCTGAAAGTTCTTCTGACCTGGATCCATATATCTGATATTTGTAATGTGTTGGCTTCCCTTTCTTAATTGTTGGCTTTTATGGTACTTGACCATATAATTCAGCAGGAAGGAGTAGGGAAGAGATTGTAGAAGTGAGAACTCTTGATGTACTTACAGTGAAGGTACTGTACTTTTTTGTTTTTTGCAAGAGAAAACCCTTTTTAGTTGAAGGAGGGTGTGGGCAATTTGAGGAACAATTTTCACAGTAAGATGACTATGTTCCATGGATGCCAACTCTGACTAAACTCTGTAATTATAAAACTGCTTCAGCTGCATGTAACCACTCAGGGAAACAAACTTCAGATGTGACTTGTATCGCAGAGTGCTATTATTATCTAGATAAACCTGATGATAACCTAGAAAGAGCTAATGGCTTCTGAGGAGTACATTGTGTTTCTGTTTAACTGACCGTAAAAGGATCCTGTGCGGATGTGTGGCACCTACATACACTACTCCAACTAATGTTTAATGTTACAGCTATGGTCACCATTCAATAATATAGAATCCCCTCCTTTTAGTATTGGAGTAGGCATGCTGTCCACAAGTGTGTAAGATGATGTTGAATACACATACCTATAAGCAAGTTGTAAAGAAGAAATTAGGTTTAGTTTTTCCCCCTCCCCAGTAAGGTGACAGAGCACAGACAACTTGGTGAGATTAGTGTTTGTTTGTTTTTTATTTGTGTGTGTGTGTCTGTCTCTCATGTTAATCATTTGATAATCTGTATTTTTAATTCCTATTGTATTGAAATGCTGTTCATTTTCTTACAGCCCCAAAACATTCTACTGACCAGCAGTTGCCCACTAGGTGACATTAAGATTGTTGACTTTGGGCTTTCAAGAATAGTGAATAACAATGAGGAATTAAGAGAAATTATGGGAACCCCAGAATATGTTGGTAAGTAGCTTACTTTTAGTACAGATTTATAAATATGTAATTTAATAATAAAAAATTTTGAAATTACATCTTTATGTATTGATGGTCTTTTTTTTTTTTTTTGTTTACCCAAAGATGCAGTTGTTGTTGTTGTTGTTGTTGTTGTTAGAATAGAAAAAAGCATAGTCGTTTTTTTTTTAGGTGTATAAAAATTATATTAGGACCATTAACATGTATTTCTTGTTTATGTAAAGTGTGTGAGTATATTTTGTTTTGTTTTTACACACTTTCTCTTTTTATTTTAGTACCTCAACATGTAGGGGAGCAGTCCTACATTTATAATAGCAGTATTACTATTGTTAGTTTCATGGCTTGTATACAGTCTTTGAATTTGTAGCACTATTGACAATATTCTTGATTTTTGTTTTTATAGCTCCTGAAATTCTTAGTTATGAGCCCATTAGCACAGCAACAGATATGTGGTAAGTGTTGTGTTGTGTTTTGTTTTTTTTTGTTTGTTTGTTTGTTTGTTTTTTTTTTTAATTCTAATTATAAAGGTTGACCAGTGAGTTTCAGTGGAAATTCAAATACCTATAATATAATTTGTAAAGGGAGCAGTATGATAAAATATGCACATTTTTACTTTTAGAAAACTCATTAATTCATTGTTAACTCCATTGTTATAGGAACTTGGAGGAACCGTAGTCACATAGCCTGTTCCTATTTTAAAGAGTGGCAAATTATAATTTGTACGTTGTTTATGTAGCTATTCGTGTCATGCAAACATTACTGTATAATGCAAAAAGAAAATGTTTACCAAAAGTATGACTCATTACTGTTACATGGACACTTTTGAAATACAATAAAAAATATTTTAAAAGATTCATTAATTCAATAACGCGTTTTATTTTTTTGTCCCTGCCTCAGGAGTATTGGTGTCCTAGCATATGTAATGCTCACTGGCACCTCTCCTTTCTTGGGAGATGATAAACAGCAAACGTTCCTGAATATTTCTCAGCTGAACATTAGTTACATGGATGAAGAATTTGATGGAATATCAGAATCTGCAATTGATTTCATCAAAGCACTTTTAGTTCGGGAGCCTGAGTAAGTAGTCAAGTAGGCATTCCAAAGCCCTTAAACATATTCTTACATCTATGGCATAGCAAACCGGTCTATTTTACTTTAGGATCGATATTAGCATTTTGTTCAGCTTGTCTTTGTGTATTTGAGACCTGTTGCTGTTTACTTGCACGGCAGGTTTGTTTGTTGGATTTGTTTTTATTATAGAACACTATATTTGAATAAATAAACCTTGGATTAATATTTAATGGAGTTTAACCTAGAACTACTGCTGGTGCCCAATATATTTTAATACCATAGAGGACACTATGGATATATCTCTACTCGGGCATATATTGAGGACATTTTCAAGTTGCCAGTCGGGCTCGGAGTTCTACAAATATTTGTCAATCTCTTATCTAAATGTTTGTTCTCCATTTGTTTATACAACCCGCTTATTAATCATGCATTGACTTTTAGCTTGCATTGTGCTCCACATAAGTTGCAAAAGCAGTTTCCTTTTATTTTTACACTTTACATGCTTAGCTAAGTGCTCAATATTTTGTAATCAGTAGATATGCTTTGGTAACCCCTTCTTGATAATATCAATGTAAACTTTACATAGGACTTGGTTCAAGGACAGAAGTTTATTTGCATTTATTTTACATTTTATTGTTTTGGTTGCTTCCATGATTTTTAAATGGATTTTTAATTGACGAGCCTTCTAAGGAATTTGAATGCACCTTTTCCCACCATTCTTGCACATGAAATGTGTACTTAAAGCTAAGATTTACAAAGGACTAAGCTTGTTATCCCTTTTTTCCCTGACAGAGGTCGGGCCACTGCAGAAGATTGTCTTCAACATCCATGGTTGGCCGGGGGTGACCTTCCTGATCCATATGCCAGTACCATGAATGCAGTTCCAGAAAGAAATTCAGTTGCACAAGAATTGGAAGAAGATGGTACAACAAGCAGTTCTTCAGAAAGCAGTCCACTTCTGCCAGATATTGAAGGACAGACTGTAACGGAGGAGCTAATAGTCATGGCTTCCTACACATTGGGACAATGTAGACAAACTGAAATGGAGAAGCAAACCGAAACAAAGGCCATTACAAAACGCTTCAAGTTTGAGGAGCCTATACTGCAAGAGATATCTGGAGATTTTATTTACTAAACTTCAGCACTTGGAACTTTGTGGCTGGATCAGAGCTTGGTTTTTGCCCTTCTTTATTGGAGTTTTTGAGTCGCTTGATAAATCAACAGTGATATTCTGTATGCCTCCGCATAAGGAAGCAACAAACTGGTTGTCATGGCAATATGAATGCAATTCAGTTGTGCCATGTTAATCTCACAGATTATCTACATCTGTCTGCATGTTTATGCAAGTGTTTTTGTTTAGGATTTTTTTTTTTTTTAAATGTGGTGCTTAGATGCTATACTGCTATGCACAAACAGTTGTGGGTTTCTTGAAATGGAGGATTTTTGTGGTCATTTTAAAATGGTTAATCAGCATTCCTTTACCTGGAGTAGAATGTCTCAAAGCAGAGTTCCAATTAATTAAAGAAGATAAAAAAACAAAAACAAAAAAACCTCAAACTGTAAATTGTCATCTTTCTGTGTGGAAGATTGAAGAGGGGAGTTGTACGCTTTTCATTAATTTAGGCCAAAAAAGACCAGTATCAAAGAGTAGAGATGGAGATTTTTATTTTAACTTAATTTTTATGGCCTATATAACCACATCTTACTAGTAACGGAATACACTCCAATGTCATCCGTCTAAAAAGATTTTTAAAAAAGAAAACAAACTGCGAAATGGTAAAACCAAGCCTCGCCATACCCTTTGACAGCCACAGGTAGTTGATAATTAAATGAAACCTGAAAATCTTTCCAGGACACCGTTTTACAAAAAAACAAAAAGTTGACAATTTGCAACTAATGAATGATTAACCGTTTTAAAATACACCTATTATCAGTTATAAGCTTTGCACATGAATTGCCATTTGTGCATGTGCCAAAACAGAGGGCCTGGGAAGCATTTATTTGCATATCAACAACAAGCACATGCAAAATTGTTAAACATCATATTTTTTTTTTTTCTTTCTAACGTCTTGTTTTTCTATCTGTCTGACATTCTTCACATAGTGCTTGAACTCCCACCATCATTTTTGTCTGTTATGAAAGTAAAAACAAGCAGTCCTCCTTGCCCAGTAAATGTATGGATCTCTTTGCCATGCTTTGGGTTGGGTACAATTTTTATGAGTTGGTTATGGGATGGTCCACATTTCTATGAAGACCTCTGCTGTGAAATCACTCCAGTAATTGTGTGGTGGTGAACCTTTCAATTTCTTGATATTCATACTAACAATGTGTTCAGTTCCTCATGATCCACTTTTTGTTGGAGTTGTGGTTAAAATAGAGTACCCCAAGAGCAGTCAGATGATCCAGGAACAAATATTTGCACTATAATGGATTATTAAATAGAAAACCTTTTGTACTTTAAGAGTAGCTTGGTGTTCAAACTCCTCTACTTTTTGCCTCATACAATATTCAACTTTTTGGAGCACACACAGTTGATTTAGGGGGATTAATCTTTTGTACATTCACTATGCACCAGTAAACAATTTTGCTTAAATCTAGGACTTTGATCGTAGCTTACTTTGAGGAGTTTTATATTGATGTGATTCAGAGTTGCATAGAACATCTGTCTGCTGGGTAAAACCTGTTCTATATCTCAATGCTTCCAGGAATGGTTAGAACCCATCTTTCAGTTGCCAAAGTGCCTTCAATTCATAGTCTGTTGGTCACTTCTTTGTGAATTGGCTCACATCAATAAATGTGTAACTCAAGTACCCTGTCCAATACAGGAGTTCCATGACCTTGGGTACTACTCGTGTAGAAACAATATATTAATGTACTGCCTGTGTACACAAGTCTGAAACGATGAAAGCTAAAACCATAGCAAATTCCACCTACACCGTTTTCTATAAGCAATCTCCTAGGTGTGTTGATACCTTGGCTACATGCAAAGATCTATTACCATGTAATGATGCCAGTTCAGAGCTTTTTGTTTGTTTGGCATAATTCTTATTGGCTGCAGTGAGGCAGAAAGCTGTTGAAGCTGTTGGCTTTTGCTGTAGTTTAAATCCGTGTCATCTGTGAAATGTCTAAAGTGCTTTTTTTTTTTTTTTTTTTCATCTGATATGCTTCAAGCAGATACGTTAATACTTGAACTGTTGTCAAGTGTTTGTAAGCAAAGAATGTACATATATATATTTGTATCACGTTGAATGCAGGCATATGGAGTTGAGTAATGAAATATTCAGGCACAATCAAATAAAATGTGTCTGGCAGAAACATGTACATATATAAAATTATCTATACATTTTTATTTTATATTTAACTCCTATGTGCAATGCCAACGTTTATCTGAGGTTGTTTTTATATAAAAAAAAAAAATCTCCTATAGCACTAAAACAAATGCCTACCTTTCATTAATTTTACATTCCCCCACTGTTCTATTTAATTTTAGCATGGCACTGTTTTCGCATTTGTGAAGCAGTGCTACTTTTCAGTCAACTTTTGATTCGTTTTGGAAATGGACATTGAATTCTTTTATTTTATTTTTTCCTTAATTAATTTTTTACTTTGTTTTTGAGGTTTTTTTTTTGTTATTCCTTTGTCACTAAAAAGGGTCTTTGCAGCTCCCAGATTTACTGTGATGCTGTAAGACTAAAGGTTACCTATCAATACCGGGCCATGGCTATTCCCTTTTACCTTAACACTGCTGGCAGCGTAGATTCTGTGTCTAGGTGTAATAGAAAAATTTATTTTGCATTCATTAAACTCGAAGTTTTGAGAGGAAAAAAAAGTTAATGCTCCAACTTCTTTTTAAGCCCTGACATCTTGCTTTTGTAATTCTCTCTTTTAACCCACTTTTTTTTTATGTTTTGAACTGCTTTATTTTTTTTTTTTTGTAAGTTATCCTAGAATAGGTTTACAAACCAAAATACTTCCTCATTCACATTCCACTTAAAACACACACAACAAAAACTATTAGTCTGATTCTTCTGAGCATTACGACAATAGTTTCTGTTCGGTAATTCTATTTAAGGGAGACTAACAGGCTATATAAGCTGCGACACAGTGGCAGTTTTGTAGAAATGCCAATTCTGAAACAGAGCTTTAAAAGTAGTTTTTTAAGAACCACTCCTCAGTTTTTCATAGTGTTAAATCATCTATTAGAACTGCCCAACAATTAATCTTCAGTAACTCCCAATATTCTCAAACACAATTGTCCTCCTGCCACTTCTACACCCAGGACATTGTAGGTTTCATTGGAGCAGAATTGTTAAACCACAAAGTTTTGAAGGTATATGAGGACTAGTTTGTAGGCCATTGCTTGAAGAAATGTACATTTTGCTTGTGCTATACAAGTTCAAAGCCTCCATACATTTTGGCTCCTTAGCATTGTTACCTTCTGGTATTTGGCTGCTCTTTGCGGTGTTGTAGAAACTTATTGGGGGAAAGAAATGGGATTTAGCATTTTCTAAAATTGTTACAATGCCAGTTTTCTTGCAATTGGCTGCTCTGAAACCTGCAATGTTTGACTTTTTTATGTATTTCTGTTGTGCCTTATGTGGTTTTCCTTTTTTGTACAGTAATTTTAAATCAATTGAATGTTTTTGTATAGATCTATTAAAGTTTGTAAATTATAAACAGCCTGTTTAAAATGTGCTTTGTATTCCTTTATTAATTGGAAAAAAATAAATTCTACTGATGTATTTTTGCAGGCATGAGAAAAAAAATTTCTGTGCAGTTCTAAAGCTGTTTATAATAAAGGTATTTTCCACTTTATCTGATTTATTATTTATAGAACTTCAACATATTCTGCAGCACTTTACAATTATACAGTGGTGATACTTGGCAGCAAATACAAAAACAATATAATGGTGCGCAAGAAACAAAATAAATATACTTTGAATCCAGTATTCCGCAAACCAATTTGGGACACATTAAATACAAATATAGTGCAGACAATTTGTATATAAAAACTGTTAAAGGGACACTATAGTCACCAGTGCAACTACATGTATTCCTGACCCTATAATGTTTACACCACCATCTAGCCTCCCTGGGCCCCTCATGCCTCCATAAATATAGTAAAATTCTTACTGTATTCAAGCCAGAAGCTGTAACTCTGCATGCTGTTTGCCTAAAAAAAAGTCTGCTGACATCATTAGAAGTTGTAGCCTGATCCAATCACAATGCTTCCCCATAGGATTGGCGGAGACTGACAAGGAGGCAAATCGGGGCAGAGCCAGCATGATTCAAACACAGCCCTGGCCAATCAGCATTTCCTCATAGAGATGAATTGAATCAATGAATCTCTATGAGGAAAGTTCAGTGTCTGCATGCAGAGGGAGGAGATACTGAATCACAGTATATTGCCTCCAACTCCGAAGTCCCTCTGGTTCACTGTGAGTGACTGCAACTGGAGGTGTTCCTAGCTTTCAATGTAAACACTGTATTTTCACAGAAAATACAGTGTTTACATGAGAGAGGCTGCAGGGAGCTATAGTTCTCACCTGAACAACCTCATTAAGCTGAAGCTGAAGTTGTTCAGGTGACTATAGTGTCCCTTTAAATATGAAATGAGTTAGAAATATTGTATGGGGAGGGGGGGAGAGAAGGGGTTATAGTGTGGGGACGGGGGCAGTGAGTGAAGAGGTTATAGTGTGGGGACGGGGCAGGAGTGAAGAGGTTATAGTGTGGGACGGGGCAGTGAGTGAAGGGGTTATAGTGTGGGGAGGGGGGGGTGAGTGAAGGGGTGAGAATGGGTTACAACAGTGTGGGGAGGGGGGACAGGGAGTGAAGGGGTGAGAATGGGGGACAGGGAGTGAAGGGGTTACAGTGTGAGAAGGAGGTGAGAAGGGGTTCCTGTAATATATCCTTCCTAAAATACATGAAAACTTAAACAAAACCATTGATCCCATCAAGAAAATAGGAAGAAATTTACTTTTAACATACAAAACCAAATGCACTAAAGACACTTTTCAATAATAAAAGTGGATATGTAAAAAAAATTATAAAAAAAAAAAACACACTGGCACCTATTAAGACCAGACGAGACCCTAAAGAAAATTATACCTAAAAAAACAAACCTAATATTCAGAGGCGCTCCTAACTTCAATCTATTTTAACCTCCAATTTCACTAGAGAAATTAAGACGACAAATGCACTAACTTCTTTTTTTTCCTGAAACCAAAGTTTTTTTTTTTTTACAAATGTAAACTATGAATAGTGTGTAAAACTACTGACCCCTCTGTCCCTTCTAAAGTAATTCAATTTGCATCCAATAGAACATAAAAAAATAGATGGATGCAATTCAAAAAATTTTATCTACATATTGGAGTGCTCTTGTGGCCTTCAATAATAGGTAATAATGTAGCAAATTTAAAAATCCAGCTCATTTCACATTTGCTTAAAATACTATTAATATCTCCTCCTCTCCAGTGTGTCTTAACATTTTCAATGGACACACAGGTGATAGAGCACTTCACTTGTATCATATTCTTACTTCTGTACTTTTATTGTATTTAAAAACATTTTGTAGAGATAACATAGCGTATCAAAACATGTTTTTTAGAGGTCCATAATGGAGAAGCCAGTGGACTAGTTTTTTAAACATTGAAAATGTTAAGACACACTGGAGAGGAGGGGATATTAATAGTCTTGTGAAACGTGAAATTAGGTGGATTTTTTTTTTTTGGATACCCTATTACCTAAGGCCTTACATGCTGATTTGAGATTAATTCCTGTATATGAACTCGGCTTTTTGTATTATATTTCCTTTTTAATAATTGCATTTTGACAATTGTGTGTATTTTACAAATTATGCTTTTATTTATCTCATCATTTCCATTTTAGGTTCCTAAAATAGTTTTGTTTTGGTTTTTTTATCTTTTTTACTTGCCTTATTTGATGGTAGTTTATCTTTAAATATGTATTCAGGGGTGTATTTATTACATAATAGGTATAATAACCTGTTTATTTTAAATAATCCTTTTATAGTATATATGATGTCCATATCTATGGTATATACTATTTGAAAATGAGAGACTTTGAAAAAATGCCGTCAGTTCGCCACCCTGTCCGACGTGTATGACACCCACGGTTCCGAGGATGGAACAACCCATTATGGTCTTCACGTCGGGACGCAAGGATGCCAATAAACGTAGGGCGTCCTGACATGACGTCAGCCGGTCACCATCGGATAAAGTGGATTTTGTAGTTTGTGTGAGGTCTGCATCCACTGGGTCCTCCAAATTAAGCATCTAGTCTGAGCCAGCTTATTTTAAGTGGCCCAGAATCATGTGAGTTGGACCAAAAAGCACTTATACACTTTAATATGTTTACTGTACAATGCTATGGTCTTTTTTTCTGTTATTTATAGATGCCACACAGAGTTGCTACATTGTGGTAGTTATATAACTTGTGTGCTCTCACCTTTTCTTATATATTGTATTAAAAACTAGGTTAGTGGGAAATATGTAGCAACAGACTATTGTTTTTGTTTGTAGCCCTGGTAGGGAGTAAGTACCATGAGTTTATGGATTGAAAATATCATGGTCTTCTAGTATGCATACTAGGGGAGTTGGTGTTCCTCTAGGCCACTGAACCTATTATCCTTGCATGATTGTTTTTGAGGGGGAGAAAGAGAAAGTAGATATACTTTTATGAAGCCATTCCCCTTTGCACCTCAATTTTCCTCTTGCAATCTCCTGGTAAATGAACAGGAGTTGTACTGGTGCTCTATGGAAAATGCACGTATGAAATTCCAGTGCAATATATAATTAAAACAAAGAATATAAAAACTCTGAGAATGGACAAGAGCTTAGATGAACTTAGTAGTTTGCCTTTGGTAAAACCCCTCAAAAAAAAAGGTTTTGCTCACTTGTGCTATTACAGAGAGAAACGGTTCCAAAGCACCCACCAATAATGGCAGTCCAGAACCAAAATGCTGGCATGTTCTCTCTGCACGAGATATACAGCAATTCCAGATGATCATTTCAGCCTTCTTTGGGCCTCGTCAGCGAGGTGCAGCAAACACCACTCTAGGCACAGTGAGCACGAGGTCCACATCTAGATTACCCTTTTGACTTGGGGAGAGCCAAGTTAGTGCAACAAAGACAAACTACATAAGAACTTTTAAAATTACCAATGGCATTTCTACTTTAAATAAAATAAGATCAATAGAGAGAAAATGACAGGCTGCATTAATCTCTGTCTGTTACATGTGCAGGTGACTTGGTTACTGTCAAATTCCCAGCCTTTGTTCTTTGAAAATCTTGCAAGACAAGAAACAGGTAAAAACGGCTGCACTGCAAGATAATTAGACAGTACATTTTCCAGTAAAATAATATAGAAAAAAAGCCGGACAGAGCAAAGTCACCTTCATAGCTGGTACACTTTGGCAGGTATATAGGTCCAGCTATTTATATACTCCTAGATATGCATGCCATGTTTGTGAGTCTGGTTTTCTGGCATTTCCAAAATATTTACTTTTAGCAATTCAATTCCTATTTGCCTATCCATCTATTTATACAATTTGCTTGTATTAGGTTTCTTGACGCTGGGCAAAGTGATGTCATAAATTAGATTAGCATATTACGTGCCAGAACACACACTCTCCCAAACAATATACCTAAAGCCTGTCCATGAGGAAATAATCCATAAATCTTTATATATATTTTTTTTTTATCTAGACAACTATTGCAGTTATTTTTAGTGAGACAATCTTTAAAACGGTGGGAGCACCAAATGGCACAGGTTTTTAAAGTAAACCACCTACAAAGCATTTGGATGTCAAGATCACCTGCAGACAGATATACATTGTGTAATTCACTGTCAGATATATCGTTTTAAAGATAGTCACCTGAATATTGTTTTGTGCTCCCCCCCCCCACAAGTGGATGATGTCTGGAATGACACACAGCACACCCACCCCAATTTATAAGCTCAGTAATTTACAAACCTTAGCATGTGTGCGCACGATTGGAATAAAACACATTTTGTACATTTTCTGGCACATATTTATAATAATAATAAAATAAAAAAACCTTTCACAGCGAGTTACAAAAATATGTGACTTTTGTTGCGTCACACTTTATAGTCCTTGTTCTAGTTCTTTTTCCCTATGGTCATCATTTGAATTATAAACAGGAATCCTCTGTCCATTGTTCAATTGTAAAGTGACCTCTTGCAGATCCCATCTATAAAACAGAGAGCAGGATCTATGTTAATATTCAAGGTTAGTCTATAAAATATCGCCAATCACAGTACCCATAGTTATTTTTGTGGATCTTAATAAAGCAACCGAGCCCCAAATTCCAAACAAAAAAAATCTTTAACAGGTAATATACTACTCCTAAACTGTGAATGAGATCCGATCTTTCCCTGGAGAGCAATGTTTGTCCTAGATTTGATTCTATCTTCAGACTTACATTTTAGATTTGAATTTGACATGAAGAATACATTTCTCATAAAATACATCCAAATAAAGTCCTCACCTTCATCGATAACTTCTTCTTTCAAATAGTAGTATAAATCTATTCTTATTATAACCAAAATAATCAATTTCTTTAATTGATTGTGACAAATAGGGCTGGTTCAAAGGGGGGTAATCGCCAGCATACATTTTGTACTTTCAAGATGTGAGATAATGTGGCTCGGGCAGAGCAGGGAAAGCCTTGGACTGAATCCAGAGGCTAATGTGTTTCATTAGGGCATAATGGATAATGAGCAAACAAAAAGCGGGATAGGGTACAGGGAAGACTCACCACTTAGGAGAAAGCAGGGAGTAGAGAAGAAAAGCAAAGGGGACAGACAAAGTATGCAAAGCACTAAGAATAAGAATGATCAAGAGACAGACAGACAGACACAACTCCTCTGCAGCCTCAGAACCTGTCCCCCGTTACCCAGACGTCCCCCATCCAGGAAATCCAGCCACGGGGGCCCAAGTGGAGTGAAAACGCTCCTGTCTCTGGTATATGGAGCTGTTACAGATTATTTTTTTTCTTCTAAGAAGGACCCAGTAAAATAAACAACAAAAGGGAAATGGCTAATTGAACATAACTAAAAATATATATATATATATCTATATATATATATCTATAGAGAGAGACAGAGAGCACGTTCCTGTAATACTAAACACAGATGACACAGATCTCATTTATGCATGTGCAGCTCCTTTACTGAAGATCCAGGTTCAAAGCCAGGATCTAATCCTCTGTAACATGTTATCATCAAATACCTTTCATGTGCTTCTTCCCACCCTAGTGTAAATCTTTAAATAGATGTCAAAATAACGTGTTCTAATGTACTTTGTTAAGGAATGACTGCGGTGGATGTTTGAAACAAATCTATTATGTAATATTCTCCTTTCAAGTGACGATAGCAATAAAACTAAATTGTGGGGGATTTTTTTTGCTTAAGGAATGCATACCTAAGCAATGAAAGGTTTGAATGTTTTTAATAACATTTGTCCTAAGCAATATCCGAATGCAAGGAAGAACAATATTTAACATTTAATCCAATGAGTTTAAAAGTCTGATACAACAAATAATAACAAAAAAATATATTTTACTTCTAAAAGCAAACAATGAAGTACTTTATTACATACATGTACATGTTTCATGTACCCACCTCTTACTAAAGCTGTCTCTGACCGACGTGGTATAGAGGTACCCAGCTGATATGGTTCCTGACACTGGAATTTTGATCTGTTGAATGTATTGAATAGCATTAACATCATTGAAGGGCTTACACAGCATATTATGTAGTTATCTACATTGGGAAGCAATTATTACACATCTACAATATACAATTAGGTTTGGCTACAGCAAGAGGTGTGGAGCAATCTGCTCTCCAGAGTTTATTCCATATGCATAAGGACACAACATGAGTTCACATCAATGCCAAGTGACAGGTTTATAGAGAACCCTTCAAGGTTGTTAACAAATTCCTATCATATGACATCAGCTGCTATGCTTTGTACTTGTCTTTCTGGAAACTTTACGAGTTTCATGCCTTTATTTGCTGAATATGACTCAGTGGAGAAGATTAGGAATGAATATGTTCCAGGTCTAAGAGCAGAACCATTAAATCCTGATTGTATAAGAATGTGACACTCTTTTTCTCAGTAGCCCAACTAACTACTTCAAGCTTGACTAGGCCCATATCTAACCTCATTTAGTAACCTCGTGTATGTTTGCTAAAGTAACTGCTCTAATAAACCGTAGTGGCTGTGGTGTCAGGAGTAAACTGAGGTTTATGTTTTGGTTTACTGGAGTACTGTGAAGCAGTGGTGGGCTTAAACAAGATACGTCCATACTGTGTGACTAAATTCCCATATTTATTGGCTAAAATAGGTGATTTTGAGAAGACAATTTTTATTTTTTATTTTCCTGTTCCCTTAATGTGTATTTTGTATATATTTGTGTCTGGACAGCAGCACCACTCTTAAGAAATGCATGTTCTGGGTGTGTCCACAATTCCTTATTTTTATTTGAATGTACCGGTATTTAGAGTCCTGACCATATTCCTTTTGGGTTAAGCACCACGCCCCTCCACACCAGGTAACCCTTTAAAGTGACCACAGCAAAGCATTCATTTGAGTAGTGTCTCTGGATGCAATTTAATTGGTAAGTATTGCAGTTCGCATGTAATATGTGATTTTAAGGAGCTTTGAAAGTTCTAACACTGTATTTTTTGTGGGCAAGCTTCTGAATTAATATTGTATATATTTTGGCCTTTATAGCAGCATCACTATTAGGAAATGTATGTTCTGGATGTGACTCCCATCCGATTAACTTCCACATTTGGTCACACCCCACAACATTATCATTGATGACACCAGGTGTCTAATGAGACCCTGATTGAGTTCCCCAGTAAACCCCCAGTTTGGCTGATCACAATTTCTGTGTCTGATCACACAGAAAGCTGCTGCACCTCTGTGGCTCTATGTCAAAACAGCACAAGACAAGAAACAAGTGTCTTTTACCCTATGATACAGCATTAGTATTCTACGCTGTGCAGTGATACCTGGTGATGTCATCACCTGGATCCTCTGTTAAGAGCGGAGATGATCCTTGAGGTCTCATAAGACCCCATACTGAGTCTGAATGTATTTCTTTAAATGTTTAAAAAATATTTTTTTTAAATCAAAATGATAAATCTAAGCAAGGCAAAGTTAAAAGCAAATAATTTTTAAAAATTCTGAATTCCACCCATTCCCCCAGGAAAAGAATGCAAGGGACATGGGCAAATTAGGTATTTCCGAAATCATGGAAAATGAATCTATATTTTTAGCACTAGTTGTGAAAAAAATTAAACACAGAACCAGGAAATGTTTTTTTATCTGTTTTTGCATATTACTAAATAAGAGTGTATGTGTTTGTTTTTGGTTATCACAAGAAAACTTTTAAAAATGATATATATTATGTGGGTGCCCAATGGTTCTTGGTTTGTGGTAGTGTGCACTGGAGATTTGACTTTCTAATTAATTACAAAACCTGAGAATACTATATAATATAATGGGTGTTACTAAAGATGGCAGAGGAAAAAGAATATCTCTAGCATGTAGGAGTAAAGTTTATTTTTTTCTTAACTGGCTGTGCTGTAGTGGTTATGGTGTCAGGAGTGCCCTCCCCCACCCTAGGCTATTAACAAAGCAGGATATAAGAAATTCTAAATTAAACAGACTATGCAATAAAGGAAGCTTAAACATTAAATCTCTCTTTACAGGAAGGGTGCAGGAAGGTGTGGCACGGGTTGCGTAAAAAGAAAATTTTAACTCCCAAACGGCAGAAAACGGCATGATCTATACCCCATAACTGCTTCATTAAACTAAAGTTGTTTTGGTGACTATAGTGTATCTTTAATAACAATTTCACAAGCAGTGAGAACAGCTGTTTTAATAGAAAAGATATTCACACTGTACCTGAGCAGCTGATGGATTAACCTGATTGTATTTGTCAGTCAGCCGAAGGAAGTGGATTTTTAGAGGTGGTGCTCCTAGCAGCTCGAGAGCTTCAGACTTGCTGTTCAACTTCTCAATGGCAGACAAGTAATATTCCTTCTTGGCAAATGTCTCTAAAAATATACCAGTTGTTTTTTTTAATGGAAATTATTACATACATTTCTGTTTCACAAATCTGCAATTCATACAAAAATGTACTAATTGTGCTCTTAAATGCAGAGAAGTATATCATTCCCACATATTGTTAGCACTCCTGTCCTACAGGAATTGGGTAAACGTAAAAATATAAAGAGCAGTCAGCACGTGGTCATTCAGTAATGCTTGATCTAAGTATCACAAATAGAATACTGATTAGTTTAATTTGGATACACCAGGGAGCATTCTTCTGACAATACTTCTTATCTTTCAGACATATCAATTCTCCTAGTCAGCTTTCATTAACCATTCAAATATTCTTTGCACTATATGACCTTACATATTGCTCTTTTCTCGACCCACTACGGCCACACATCTTCCTTATTCAATGCAGGTCTGAACTAGGCACATTATGTATAAAGAGCCTTCTATTGCATGACTATTGAATTATGTAGCTGCTGAGATCACTAAGAATATGGCCTAACTTTTTTATTGTTATTTGCCAATCCTCGGGTATAGGTGTATATATATGTATAGGTGTTTTAAATGAAGGAATGGAGGAGGTGGGGAGGAGGGTATTCCAATCAATTCACTGATGTGTCTTTATTCCCCACTCTTTTATCACTGTTTCCTTCTTTTCTCCCCGCAGCCAAATTTTGTTGTATACTCATATATGATTTTCCCCAGCTTGGACATGAACACTTATCACTATAGTAACACAGTCGAAATTTAATACAAATTGCTCTTATGTATGTCTGTCCATGATGTGTACATTTACTACAAATGAATGCATATGATGCTTTCTTTATTTACTCTGAAAACTGGTCAAGGAATTCAGGATCCATGTGATGTCATCCAATATGATTGATATGCCATAGAGGTCTGTATTGTCACGGCATACCCAAATCCTTTAAGGGGATTTTATCAGGAGTTTAGTGAGAACGGCTCCTTCTTAATCAATTAGGTAATTTAATATTTTTTTACATGTTTTATAATAAATGGCAATAATTATTTTTCCATTGTGATGCACATTTTATTTAAAACAAATAGCAAAAATAGAAAGAGGTAGATCTTTGCAAATTGATAGATACTTGGGGGTGGAGAGATCTAGGAACAAGAGCAGTTCAATGAATATACAGGTAATCAGTCTTGAGTTGGAGATGAAAAGGTATAGGCAGGAATATAGCTCAAGAACTGGTGATGACTCCAAGTATTCAAGAACTGTTGATTTGAGTCTTGCAAAGGGGTATAAAGCTATATGCGGTCACTTGGATGATGGGGAAGTCCTGCTTTCCCATCATCCAACTGCATCCACTCCCCCTTCCAGCCATAATGGCAAGAGGTAAGTGTGTGTGTGTCTGCCTGTGTGTGACTGTTTACCTGTGTGTGTGTGTGTGTGTGTGACTGTGTGTATGTGTTTGACTGTCTGTCTGTGTGTGACTGACTGCCTGTGTGTCTGTCTGTGACTGTTTGCCTGTTTGTGTGACTGTGTCTGTATTTTACCTGCGAGTGTATAAAACCACATTGGTAGCTTGGTTAACAAGCTCTGAAGATGTTCTTGGGGAAAGGAACCCCTATTGAATGTGAAGCCCCTCTGTCAGGGCCGGCCTTAGGGGTGCAGGGCATCATGGACTAGGGGGCGCCATGTGGCCGATGTCAGGGGAGCTAAAACAGGTACCTGGGTGGAGGACTAATTATTCTCTATTAAAAAAATAAATAAAATTGAGGTGGTGGGGCCATGGCTTATCGTGAGGCGGGGCTTACAGCGAGGCAGGGGCGGGGCTAATACATACAAAGCCCCTGGTAACTCTTGCACAGGAAGAAGGAAGGAGTCCTGCTTCCCCATCATCCAACTGCATCCACTCCCCCTTCCAGCCATAATGGCAAGAGGTAAGTGTGTGTGTGTCTGCCTGTGTGTGACTGTTTACCTGTGTGTGTGTGTGTGTGACTGTGTGTATGTGTTTGACTGTCTGTCTGTGTGTGACTGACTGCCTGTGTGTCTGTCTGTGACTGTTTGCCTGTTTGTGTGACTGTGTCTGTATTTTACCTGTGAGTGTATAAAACCACATTGGTAGCTTGGTTAACAAGCTCTGAAGATGTTCTTGGGGAAAGGAACCCCTATTGAATGTGAAGCCCCTCTGTCAGGGCTGGCCTTAGGGGTGCAGGGCATCATGGACTAGGGGGCGCCATGTGGCCGATGTCAGGGGAGCTAAAACAGGTACCCGGGTGGAGGACTAATTATTCTCTATTAAAAAAATAAATAAAATTGAGGTGGTGGGGCCATGGCTTATCGTGAGGCGGGGCTTACAGCGAGGCGGGGGCGGGGCTAATACATACAAAGCCCCTGGTAACTCTTGCACAGGAAGAAGGAAGGAGTCCTGCTTCCCCATCATCCAACTGCATCCACTCCCCCTTCCAGCCATAATGGCAAGAGGTAAGTGTGTGTGTGTGTCTGCCTGTGTGTGACTGTTTACCTGTGTGTGTGACTGTGTGTATGTGTTTGACTGTCTGTCTGTGTGTGACTGACTGACTGCCTGTGTGTCTGTCTGTGACTGTTTGCCTGTTTGTTTGACTGTGTCTGTGTGACTGCCTCCCTGTGTGTGACTGACTGTCTGTGTGTGACTGTCTGTGTGTGTGTGTGTGTGTGTGTGAGTGCCTGTCTGCCTGTGTGACTGCCTCCCTGTGTGTGACTGTCTGTGTGTGACTGTCTGCCTGCCTGTGTGTGTGACTGTCTACCTGTGTGTGACTCCAATTGTGTGTGTCGCTGTAGCTGTGCTGTTGTGTGTGCCTGTGCCTGTATGTGTGACTATCTGCCTTTAACTGAGTGTGTGTGTGCCTATCAGCGTGCGTGAGTGAGTGTCTGCATGCCTGTAACCGAGTGTGTATGACTGTCTGCTTGTAATGAAGTATGTGTGACTGTCTGCTTTTGACTGTGTGCCTGTAACTGTTCGTGATTGTGTGCCTGTAACTGTGTGTGACTGTCTGCCTTTAACGGTGTGTTTGGCTCTGTGACTGTCTGGCTGTAACTGAGCACGTGTGACTGTCTGCCTGTAACTGAGCGTGTCTGACTGTCTGCGTGACTGTCTACCTATGCCTGTGTGTGTGACTGTATACAAGCAACTTGGTGGGGGGGCGCGCCATGAAGACTTTTTGCACAGGGCGACTAATGGCCTAAGGCCGGCCCTGCCCTCTGTACAGAGACAGATAATATGATTGGTATATTAGAAAGGATACAAATTACACAGCACAGACAGCATTTAACATTCATACGTACTTACTCTGAATAAAATAATACATAAGGCCACATCCTCCCCCAGACACCACACCCAGATAAAGAGCCATTTGTTGAAGGTTTTTCAGAGGGATTGGCATCTTTCCTGGAAAAACAAAAACACAGATGTTCATTCCTTCGTCAGTCATTCTCAAGGTGTCATGCGTGAAAGTTGATGTGAAAGCTTGTTATTTTTAAGAGTTACTTAAAATAATGTTTTGTGTTCACAGATTGAATCATCTGACTGTAAACGATACCCAAGTGCCCTTTCTGTTTCCTCCTACAATCAAGAATGAAACCATCACAGACGAACAGATAAAAAATTTACATTTTGAACACCAGAAAAATGTTTTCTTTTGCATTGCGTATTTAGAACTACAAGCATCCTAGATCATTAGATATCTAGCTTTCATATGTATGCTTTGTCTGTGTCAGAAATATATTTAATGCCTGTGCTTTGAGATGAATGTTCCAGTTCTTGTTATACCTTGCACTCAACCAATCTCCCTTAGAAAGACTCCTTAGTTTCCCCTTTGTCATTTCCCCCTCCAAAATAATTATTTCATAAAGAGAAAATCTTCATGAAATACTCACATTAACTGTTGGAATATCGAAACTCCAACTCAGTCAAAGTATATACAGAGATAAAGTAAGGACTATTTTGTCTCAGTATTTTTCCTACACTTGACAAAAGGCGGAGCTACCTTTATCTAAGCCATGTCAAGCCCTCAGCCGTCACCAGTGATGACTGAGGGGAAAAGGACCGTGTGTATGGAGGATTCTGTAGATCTCAGTGTGGCACTCTTGTGATTGCTTGAGATTACAAGACTGACATTGGCAGCTGAAGAGGGCCAGCAGAAAGAAGATGTCCGCGGCTGCAAGGGTCAGGTTCAGTAAGTATTGCCGCCGCAGTGCCAGCAGAGCAGTCACCACTGAGGGTCTTTGCAAATTATGCAAAGATCCCAGACGATGACAGACGTTTTTATAAATTTTTCACTTTCAATCTGGCAACAGCTGCATGCTTTTTATTTATGAGAATTCATGAACAAAGGACAAATGATTTATGAGCCCTGATTTGTCATTATTTTCCATAATAGAACCATTATGTATCTTTTATATTACATTATTTTTTGGTGGCTAGTTTTATGGTTACTGCTAAGAATGAGACATTTATAGATGTAAAATGAACTTAATTCAGAACTACACTATTTATTTTTATGATTGTATTCAGTCATGTTATGTCATTTGTGCAAATGCCCATATTATTATTTATGGGGGGGAAACAAATTTCACACCTCAATTACACATATAAAACAAATCTTTCACCATTTACTTCCCTCTGTCTTTTTATCGTTCAAGGAGTATATAAACTTTCTTTTGCCATCCTTATGCCGAGTTGAAGCTGTAATCCACTTAATGGGATTTACAAAGTCTACACTAATTTATATGTCTTGTCCAGTAATTGTACTTAAAGATAATGAAGATGTGACCTTTTCAAAAACCTTTTGCATTGTATCTCACAAACGAAGAAATAAATTTGGAGTGGTTTTATTTTAAAACGAGCATTGTCTTTGAAACATCGTGGAAATTGAATGTTTTTTTCCTCTTGACATTCACCAATGTACTTTTCAACAAAAATCTAGAAAATGGGGGTGTAAACACTGACCCTCTAGGGCCAACTATCAGTCAACATGTTCCTTGTTTTAACATTTATACAGGATTAACCACTTAAGGACACATGACATGTGTGACATGTCATGATTCCCTTTTATTCCAGAAGTTTGGTCCTTAAGGGGTGAAAATAACTATGCAAAACATTATTTATATTCAGTCACACTTTCACTAACACTGATACAAAAAAAGAATCGTTATCACTGCATAAAATAGAGTGCATTTACCTTCAGTATAGGTTTCTGCACAATATTAAATAAATTACTAAGGAATAGAATAAATGACAGCCAGAAAACAAAGAGTGTGGAACTGTTAATGACTAGTATAAATAATTAAAACTTAACTTTTAATAGTTTAAAGATAAAATATTTATATGGACATAAAAGCCAACCTATCCAATTTATACCCTAAATAAAATGGGAGTGGGATATAGCCTGTGTGGTGTTATGAAAGAAATCAACCCTACACGTTAAACTGGGTATTTGACCTCTTTAAGGATTAAAGGTAAGTATCATTTTGTAATCACTACTGCGAGGTAAATATTTGCGCAAAAGAATTCTTTCTGATGAGCCCCCTCTTCAGTACTATCATGTCAGGAATACATGTTTCTATTCCTTGACTATAGTGTTTCTTTAAACCCATCCGATGTAAGCGGTGAAATGTACTCAGGCAAGTCTTCACATCAGATGTTGGAAAAATTACTTTTATGGCCACAGACAGCCTGGGACAAAGTTTAGGGATCAAAAAAGGAAAAAGCACTATAACCAGATTAGCTAATTGCAGTGGTCAAGGGGAAAATGGTCTCTGGACTCCATCTTTCCACTGCCTATAAAAGCATTTTTCAGTAGTTTGACAAAATAAGACACTCTCCTGACAACCAAAGCCCCTTTGTTGTGATGAACTTTTGTATCAGATCATCCACTGTTGGACTGGAATGAGAGATTCAGAGTGTTGGGGAGGATTAGTCTCTTTATCTCATCTTATCTTTACCACTCAAAGTTGGACAGAAGTTGAATTTCATACTTGCTAAGCCAGGGGCTGGATATTGAGTCCTGCGCAATTTCAGATTTTTGTTAAACCTCTGTAAAATAGTTTGACAAAAATCAGAGGGATATTCCCAAAGACCCTGGCACAAATGAGCTACAGTGGATGTAATGCATAGATTGCCCTCACCTATTCGTAACCCTATAGTGTTAAAACCACCATCTAGCTCCCTTGTCCACCCCCTTAACATAATAAAATTTCACTTGTATTCAAGTCTGCAGCTGCTGCCTCTGCCCATGACCTTTCTGCTGTCTACTGACATCATCAGAAGTGGTGGGTGAGCAAATCACAATGCTTCCCCAAAGGATTGGCTGAGACTGTCAAGGAGACAAATCAGGGGCAGAGCCCGCAAAAGTCAAACACAGCCCTAGCCAATCAGCATCTCCTCATATAGATGCATTGAATCAATGTATCTCTATGAGTAAAGTTCAGTGTCTGCATGCAGAGGGTGGATGGCAGTACTGCACAGTGTGCCACACTACCCCAGGAAGCACTTATGATAGCCATCTGAGGAGTGGCCAGTGGAGGTATCCCCAAGCTATAATGTAGACACTGCATTTTCTATAAAAAAAAAAGATGGTATTTACTGCAAAAAGGCTGGAGGGAATGATTCTACTCACCAGAACAAATACAATAAGCTGTAGTTTTTCTGGTGACTATAGTGTCCCTTTAAACCTTACCAAGCTGACTCCTAAAATTTTTGTTACTCTTATCAAACATCCCATCATCTTTATAGAAATTCACTCATTGATACAAATGTTTTTCCATTTAATCCAAGCAAAAATAATAAACCTTTTTTAGTTTTAAAAGTTAACAGTATTTTGTATTCAATCTATTTTTACTTTATTTATGGCCTATCTTTGTTGTATGCATTCCAGTGCTATAGAAAACATGCATGCAAATATTCTCCATAATTTCAGTAAGAATGGCAGTTATGTTGTTTGTGAGAGTGCTGACGTGGGGAAACTGTAAATCTGTTCAGCTGCCTTCTGGAGATAAAGTAAACTGATATATTTGTTTCTCAGTCTTAAAGATAATAATCTAGAAAAAAAGATATAATGGGGCACAGAAAAAAACAGAGATAGCAAAAAAATAAATATAAAACGTAGGAAAATAGTTGCATGCATTTATAATCTGTTACAAGATCTACACAAAAGAAATAAATGTATTTCTACTTATATTCAAATAACAAGACATGATCATACTTAGGATCTGTCAGGGCCTCACTAGGCAGACACTTTGGGTCATTCTGGTTCTAGCAGAGTCACACTATTGATTTGAACAATATAACTTAAATGATACAAGTGATCACTCAGTTTGTAAAATCTTTAAATTAAGACAATTAAAGGTAAACAGACTACAGTTTGGTATCCTCAACTGGTCACTACAAGTCCCTAAATGCTTTCACGCATAGGCATAGGGGTTCTTTTAAAGCAAGCATGTCAAACTCGTGGCCCACAATGAAAATCTTTGCGGCCCAGCTTGCTGTTAAGGCAGAGTAGGCACCTGCCATCCCTACATTGCAGGTGCCTCCTCTGCTAAAATTTACCCGGCCGGGAGGAGAGTACGCTGGCGACAGCGAGGGAGCTCAGTCTGTTCTTCCTGCTCCTCACTGCTCCCTCTGTAGGGATGCCATGTGTCGGAATATGAGTTAATTCCGGCATGGCATGACTAAACTGCTTGTGTGAGGGAGCAGTGAGGAACAGGAGGGAGATCTCCACAGAGACGATCACCACTGGCCCCCAGGGAGAGGCCCTACACCAGCTCCCAAAGGTAGGGAGAAATAAATAAAATGATTTGTGAGTGTGTGCAAGAATGTGTAAATGTGTTTGTCTATCAGTGTGTGTCTGTCTGTCAGTGTGTGTGTTGTAAAAAAAGTAATGATGGTCCAGGCACTCAAGTTCAATCCAGTGGACAGATTTATTGGAGCAAAATCGAAATGTTGTTTCTATGTTGCTCAATAAATCTGCCCACTGGATTGTACTTGAGTGCCTGGACCATCATTACTTTTTTGCAAATCATATTGTGAAGATTGGCCAACCTCAGACCCGGTTGCATTCCAGGAGAGGGCGGTATCCATATTGGTAAATATGTCAGTGTGTGTATGTCTGTCTGTCAGTGAGTGTGTGTTTGTCATTGAGTGTGTGTGTGTGTGTCTGTCAGTGGGTGTGTGTCTGTCAGTGTTTGTGTCTGTCAGTAAGTGTGTCTGTCAGTGAGTATTCGTTGGTCAGTGTTGTAATGGCCACGGCTGGACAGTGGAGGACCTGGAGGCACGCAACACCACGTCAGGATTAGCAGGAGGATCCCCTTTGGCACAGGGTGCAGACAGCGTCTTTGGGAGTATAACAGAGGTTGGACTCCAGAGTTGCATACTGGCAGCGGCAATGTGAGTCTGCCTGTTGGCTAATGTTGTTTTTTTAAACAGGGGCCAGGGTTTAGTAGAGGGGGGTGCTGGGATGCAGTAGAGAGGGCAACTGGACTTTAGTATAGAGAGGGGGACTGGGATTTAGCATAGGGGGGAGCATAGAGGGGAGCTGGGGTTTAGTAGAGGAGGGAGTTGAGGTTTAAAAAGGGGAAGCTGTTTTTTTTTTATATTGTACTTCTCAAAATAAACCTACGTTTCTATGAAAGTGTAATTTTTCTGTTAAGGTTTAATTGATGTGGACTGCAAAAAAAACTAGTTTATTTGGCCCGTGCTAGCCTTTGAGTTTGACACGCTTGTTAAAGGGTTACTATTTTGCATAGTTTCATGGTTAGCTCATTGGGGAAATTAGCAAAAACAAGTGAAAGCTTTTTAGCTTTTTTTAACACATTTTTTTTTTTTGCATGAACTGTGTTGTATCAGTACCTTCACTAGCGTAGGTGGCAATATTTTTATTTTTTTTATTTTTTTATATTTTGTATAGTTAGTACTTATTGCCTGTATGTAATAAATTTGTACTTTATAATGTAAGAAAATTAAAATTAAATGTAGCAATCCACACTGCTGTATTTACCTCTATCCTTGAACTCTGTGTTGGCTCCCTACCAAACACTGTTATAAGAGCGGTCTTTTGCACCTCTCGGTCAGCACAGAGAGAGCAAAATGAGAAAGGGAGAAACAGAAACAATGTTTTATATTTCCTCTTCTAATGTATGTGTGCCCTGGATTGAACTGATTTGCAATATCAATTAAAATGTTTAAGAGACGTCAGAGCATCATATAAAAGAATGTTAACAGAAAATATAGGTGATTTTCTTCAATGTTTTATTCAAGGTGGAATTCACAGGCAAGTGGTAGTTCCTTTTTGATGAGATCATCTGAGGTGGTTTTGCTATTAGCACAATGTTCAAATATAGAAAGTATTTTTTTATGTATTTTTTGTTTTAAAAGCCTCTTCAATTCGTACCTCTGAGGCTGGTTATCAATGACATAATTCTGTATTGCGTAGAGGCAGTGGTGTATTTTGGATTTGTGCTGCCCTAGGCACGACTAAATTCGGGCACTCTCAAAATCTAAATTTGCCCCCCTAATTCGAGCCAAGGCCCTTTTTTTGACTGACAGACACATGCCCTCATTGATACATGCACTGATATACACTCACTGACAGAAACACAGTCATTGGCACACACATTCAGTCATTGGCACACACTTTTTAACCAACACACACTTGTACTGACAGGCACACACTCTCAGATACACTTAAAATGACATACACACACTCACAGGCACACCCATTCTCACTCACAGACACACACTGACCACTACATTCACTCACTCCCAGTAAGGTGGACAGCCCCAGAACACGAGGCAAACAAGGCATTTGTCTGGGAGCTTGGGGTGGCATTTTTTGGCGCCCCCTTGAAAGTGCCGCCCTAGGCAAATGCCTTGTTTGCCTTGTGGTAAATACATCCCTGCATAGAGGGCATGTTAGTTGAGCATCCAGACGCGTGTATTCTATGATACACTTATACATTTTACCAGTGTTTGTTGAAAATGACCAAAGATGGCAGAACACTAATCTCATATCACAGGACGCAGTATAGATAAGTGGCATACTTTTCATACATCACGTTGCAAATAAAATTATTACATCTTTAACACAGTAGGCATTCAGAGAGACTGGCTGATTGGTGAAGTGCGGTGTTTTTCCGTGCATGAGTACTAGGCTTCCAATGCTTTACCATGGTCAATCATTGGATTGGTTGAGATCATCTATGATTCTCTGTCAAGGAGACAGGGCAACAACACGGAGACTGGTACTCCAAGGGAGATAAGAGAAGTAAAAGATCCTTTTTTTCTCTGGTCTTCTTAACGGCCACTATAGCATTTGTATTCCTAATACTATGGTGTTCCTTTAACCACTTAGTGACCAAGGACGTATCAGGTACATCCGGCAAAAAATGGTCTTTAACGACCCCGGATGTACCTGATACGTCTGCGTCAAGTTTTATAATTTTTTTTTTTTTTTTACAGTAAATTATATATGATGAAAATAATGCTATCTTTATAAAGACCATTTAATGGCAAAAAAAACGGTATATTATATGTGTGGGTACAGTAATTGAGTAAGAGGAAAATTACAGCTAAACAAAAAACAGCACAGAAATGTAAAAAGAGCCCTGGTCCTTAACTGTAAGAAAATTGAAAAACGGTCTGGTCACTAAGGGGTTAAAGGTTTGTTAGAATATTTAAGTGGCTCTGTCCCTTTTTTATCCTTTATTATGTTGCATTTTTGTGCATATGGGAACCTCAGTTTTTCTTGTTTTGTTTTGTTTTGTTAAAAAAACAAAACAAAAAAACGATACCTTAGAGCAAGCATGTCAAACCGGCGAACCGCGAGTACATGCTGGTGTTATAGCAGAGTAGGCACCTGCTTTTCCCATATTGCAGGTGCCTATTCTGCTAACACTTACCCGGCCAGGGAAGAGGGCCAGCGAGGGCGCACAGTGTTCCTGCTCCTCACAGCTCCCTCGCGTGCGCCGTCTGAAGTGAAGCTGGGCGTCGTAATATTCTGGCACCCGGCATCACTAAACCACGCGAGGGAGCAGTGAGGAGCAGGAAGGACCACAGGGAGATGCCCCACATCAGCTCTATAAGGTAAGGAGCAATAAAGAAAAGTATGTGTATGCAAGAATGTGTAAGTGTGTGTGTCAGTGTGTGTCAGTGTGTGTGTCTGTCTGTCTGTATGTGTCTGTGTGTGTCTGTCAGCAAGTATGACTGTGTGTGTGTGTCTGTCAGTGAGTGTGTGTGTCTGTCAGTGAGTATGTGTGTCTGTCAGTGTGTCTGTATGTATGTGTCTGTCTGTGAGCATGTGTGTGTGTCTGTCAGTGTGTGTGTGTGTGCCTGTTAGTATGTTTGTGTGTGTCTGTCAGTGTGTGTGTGTGTGTCTGTCAGTGAGTATGTATGTGTGTGTCTGTCAGTGTGTGTGTGTGTGTCTGTCAGTGAGTATGTATGTGTGTGTCTGTCAGTGTGTGTGTGTGTGTCTGTCAGTGAGTATGTGTGTGTGTCTGTCTGTGAGTATGTGTGTGTGTCTGTCAGTGAATATGTGTGTGTGTCAGCGGGAGGATCAGATTTGGCACAGGGTGGTAGAGGTGCTGTGGTTTAGTAGAGGGGGCCTGGGATTTAGTAGAGGGTGGCTGGGATTTAGTAGAGGGGGGTGCTGTGGTTTAGTAGAGGGGGATGCTGGTGGGCTGTTTATACTGTACTTTTTAAAATAAACCTACGTTTCTATGAAAATTTACGTTTTTGTTTTTTTTTGCGGCCCACATCAACTTAAACCTTATTTATGTGGCCCGATCCAAACTTTGAGTTTGACATGCTTGCCTTAGAGACTGCTTTTTCTTGGGTATAAATGACATGTTGAAAAATGTTGACGCTTCAGTCAAGCTCCATGTCATTTGATGTCAAAACACTTTATCTTCCACAGTTTCATGTCACCTTCTCACGACGTTGACTCGCAGCATCACACCATCAATAAAAAAGGTTGGGGCAGTGTTTAAGGTGCTCCACATATACATGAAAAGGGCAGAGGGGAGAGTTCTAGGGATCGAAATTCAAAGATGGTGGTGTCAAATAAAACCAGACTCCGGGCAAACAAACAGAATTGGGGGTTAAATAGGAGGGGGAAAAAAGGCAGAGGGCCGGGAGAAAATATAAATGACAAGGTTGCTTTACCACATTTGCTGTCTTTTGTTTTTTTAGACATAAAATTGGAACCCCTTACCTAATGTGCACTGATACGGGAAAGAGAAGATATTTTTTATAATTTATCTTTTCCCATTTTACACGCAATAATATAAAAAATATTTAAGCCTGTACTGCAGTGTAGCCAGATTACGCCTTTACAATTGTATATTGCTTGCAAAGCTGTTTTACCGGTTCCTCTATTGCTGATCTTGTACATTAGACTGTAACAATTATATTTTAATGTAGCAATTTGCCTAATCCATCGTAACAATGTAATAATGGTAGCTTTACGGTTCTTCAAGGCACCCGCAAAATTTACAAAAATGCTGATATTTCTAGGTTACCTGAGAACAAACCTTGAGACATCTTATCGTAGGTAAAGTGGCTTTTAATTCCAGTCCTTATCAGGATTAGGAAGACAACTTAATAATGTGTCAAGCGACAGACAAGGAAATGATGAGCACATCATATACTATGAAATGACCTGATATTTCGCATGTGGTTCAAAAAGGTACAGTAAAATAATCTAAAGAATAACATAACTTAAAGTATAACTTATATTTTTCATTCCATGATTGGTGATCATCACCCATTTCTTCTTAATTATGTTTCTCATGCTATCTCATGCATTTTAATGTTTAAAAATTTTAATGTGTATCACTGCTCCTTTAACAAAACATTAAACAGTTTATTACATTTGGGATAGTCACATTGTTATGCAAGGTCCCCTATTCTATATGAATCTCTGAAACAAAAGCCAAAGGCAATGCACAAACTGTTCTTACGTGTGTAGTAATAATTGCTAAACAGAATTAAGGCAATGGAGATGTGTACAGGGTTTAGTTTGAATAATTAACCCCTTAATGACACAGCTTCAAAAGCTTCTCTTACCCCTAAGGACACAGGCTCTTTTTGCATCTTTTGCTGGTTGTGTTCAAACGCAATTGGCATCTCTGTCATTTATTACAACACATATTACCGTATATACTCGAGTATAAGTCGACCCGAATATAAGTCGAGACCCCTAATTTTACCCCCCAAAACTGGGAAAACTTACTGAATTGAGTATAAGACTAGGGTGGGAAATGCAGCAGCTATTGGTAACTTTCTAAATAAAATTAAAATTAGATCCCAAAAAATTATATTAATTGAATATTTATTTACAGTGTGTGTACATAATGAATGCAGTGTGTGTGTGTGTATATAATGCAGTGTGTTTGTATGAATGCAGTGTGTGTATGAATACAGTGTGTGTGTGTGTGTGTGTATGAATACAGTATGTGTGTGTGTGTATGAATGCAGTGTGTGTGTGTGTATGAATGCAGTGTGTGAGTGTGTATGAATGCAGTGTGTGAGTGTGCATGAGTGCAGTGTGTGTGTGTGATGCAGAGCCTTGCTGGGAGGTGGGCATTTTTATAATTTTTTAAAATTATTATTTATTTATTTTTTATATCATTAATATTTTTTTTTATTGTAATTTTTATATATATATGTAAAGTAGGTATCACCAGCTATTTACCCAAGGTTATTTTGACACTTTTAACGTAGCCATTTCATCGCCAATCTCTGCCAAATATTGGAGTAAAATTGTGTTTTTTTTCTCTATTTTGACATATACACATGTAACAAGGTATTTATAATGTGTATTTCGTAAAACTGGTTTGTGCTATTCCTGCACAGAACCCCATATTGTGTTCAGCTACAAATGCTGAGTATAACGATACCCCCATCGTATGCCTTTGGCACTATTCTGTGAATATACAATGCCATATAAGAGACAAGACTATTTCAGTTTCTATAGTTAGAATATTCATAGATGGATTTGACGGGCCTATGTCTCATTTTGGGGTATTATAGCAGTGTGACTGTTCAAATAACCCCACAAAGGGCTTTCATTTGATAAAGCAGACACCCCAGAGCATGTATTGTGCCTTAACTTGTCACAATTTTTTCACCAATTTATGCTAATTTTAGTGGTGAGCGGAATAAAATTGCATCTTTACATACTTGTTGCATTTCTGCTGAGTATTTCTTACACTTGATATGTGCCACTGTCATATCAACCATCTAACCAACTTATGTTAACGTTATCAGAATTACAAAATAAAATCAATAGAAAAACAGAATAAAAGATAAAAAAAACTATTCATAAACGGAGATTAAATACCTATTACCAGGGAAAGAGAGCCAGTAAAAATTTAACAAAGAAATTAAAGAAACAAAATACATCAAAGAGGGTAAATAATTTGTTGGATAATTGTACTCCTTCCCTGAAAAATCGGCCAAATATTCAATGAATTTTATAGTAATTTGTATTATCTTTTTTTTTTTTTTATTCTTTATTTTGTCATGCATGGATTATACAGGTTACATGTACGCCAGCAATGCCACAACAGCTAATGCCAGGGTTTCTGTATACATATAAATACAACTGGCATGAAGAAACTGTGCACATTTTACAAATTTAATGTGAGTAAACAGTAGAGTTGTGTAGGTCAGCGCATGTGTATAAGAATGTGTATAGGCTTATCTATTGACCATGTTAATAGAAGTGTATCAGACGCTTAATGAATGAATGAGTGAAGGAGTAGTTATCTCTGAGTAGGCAGACGCTTCAATATTCTTATTATGCTAGGCTTCCCGTCTGGGGGTATCTTATTAGACTGCTTGAAATTATCAGTAAGGCAAATTCCCAGACAGGGAATCAGCCTCCGTTGATCTCTGTAGCACTGCATGCGGTGGCTTAATGCATCTCCGGTTCTTCCTCCCAGACCTGGCTCGTTCCAGGCTTGGAGCCTGGGTTCTGAGTTGCTTCTTAGCGGGCACCTGTAGGTATTTATTCGGCCTGCACTGGCTATGTGCCGGTGTGATGGGATCATTGGTCTCTCTTCTGGTAGATCGCTATGCGGTCTCCGCCATTTTGGGTGCGGTCTCTGATCCTCGGGTGGACACTGCCACAGCTTTGTATGCCAGTATCTTTTCACCTCCTGGGGCCCCAGGGTGTGGACTGGGATCACCCCCCCGGTCCATGGGGGTGGGAGGGGGAAGGGGCCAGGTCCACTCCGCTTCGTGCTTCTGGCATGGCACTGTTAGTCGGGATAGTGGGGCAGCAGCCGTCCACCTCACTCACCGCCCGAGTGATCCCCATTATGGACGACGGAGAGCACCCCTCCAAGGGACTAAACCCAGTCGGCAAGACTCTCCTCGGAGCCAGGATGCCTTCTTGCACTGGGCCACAGCTTCCAGTTGTCAGGTGGGTATCGTTTCAGTTTTTATGGGCTGAAAACCTAAGAAGTTTCAGGAGCTTCTCTGTTATACGACTTTGCAGCATGGCGGTCCGGCCCCACCCAGTAATTTGTATAATCTTGGTGCAGTTTCAGATAATGAACAAATATCTAGCTGACACAGAAATCCCCATAATTTCTAATCCCGATCTTAATCTGCTTAACTTCGAGTTTACGCCTAATATAAAGGAAAGAGGGATTGATAGATAAGAATTATTTAAAACCCTTGGTCCGGATGGATATAGCAACTTTTATTATAAGATCATGAAAAAAGAAATAGCTTCTCCTTTAACAGCCCTTTTAATGAAATGGCTAAAAAAGCTAAAACTCTAAAAGAGTTATTACAGGCTAACATCTTACCAATATTAAAACCTAATAAATATGAAAGAGATGTTAGTAATTACAGACCGATATCTTTAATAAATATAGATATGAAAATATATGCAGCAATCTTAACATATAGATTAAAACCACTTATCGAAAAAGTCATCCATCCGAATCAGGTCGGCTTAATTCCGGGCAAACCCTCGGATAGCTGTACCAGAAGAATTCTGGATATATTGGATAGAACAGAATGTCAGGAGATTCCATTGCTGACCCTGTCATTAGACGCTGAGAAGGCCTTTGACAGGGTCAGCTGGAGATTCCTAGACGTAATATTGACCTCCTTTGGATTCATGGGTTGGATCCATGGAGCTATTATGGCCCTTTATTCTGAACCGACGGCAAGAACAGTTGGAGTAAATATCTTATCTAGCTGGTTTAATTTACAAAATGGCATGTGGCAAATAAATATATCAGGAAATAAATTGAACACCCGAGAGTTAAAAAATAAATAAAAGTTAACCCTCAGGGGTTACAAAATAATATCAGATGACGGTACAAGACGGTGATCTGTATTTTGATGACTGTAAGCAGTGATTAACTGACAGAGAAGGGGTTAATTTTTATTAGGACTGGGTAAAGGGGGGTAAGATTTTTTTTTACTTTTTAAAACATTATTAAAGAAGAACAGGGAGGCATGCTGTCAGAGCGATCACAGCTGCAGGGATAGCGCGATCGGTGCTCCTGTTATGCCTTGAATACCGAGGCAGACCGGAGAAGCGCTAACCCAGCGATCGCCATGGTTATGGCGATCTGGAGTTAACTTTAGTAAATATCTGAAATTTTCCGTCAAGGGTCCTTAACACAAGGACAAGATTGACAAAAAAATTTCTGTCTTTGGTCAGGAAGTGGTTAACATATCTTGTGTCACAACAACATACTTGTATGTGAAAACTAAAGAAAACAACGGCAAGTTTAGTTCTTAACTTTGGCTATTTGCTCTGTTACTAAATTTTGTGGCTAGTTAAAGGCACACTATAGGGTCAGGAACATAAACATGTATTCCTGACTCTATAGTGTTAAAATCACCATCTAGACCCCCTGGCCCCCTCTTGCCTCCCTAAATATAGACCAATCTTACGTGTATTCAAGTCTGGAGCTGCTGCCTCTACTTATATCTGTCTCTTAACCGCATCTGACCTCTGACACCATCAGAAGTGGTGGTCTGAGCCAATCACAATGCTTAGCCATAGGATTGGCTGAGACTGTCAATGAGTCAGATCAGGGACAGAGCCAGCACAAGTCAAATACAGCCATGGCCAATCAGCATCTCCTCATAGAGCTGGATTGAATCTATGCATCTCTATGAGCAAAGTTCAGTTTCTGCATGCAGAGGGTGGAGACACTGAATATTGTGATGCATACTAGGCAGCACTGCCTGTCAGGATTACTAGTAGACCCAGCACGCAGAATTATATCACACCTAAGACTAAAGGTAACGTCTTACCGGGCCTTAGAATGGCCGGACTTAACGTACCAGAGAATAGTCAGAATGCTTTCCGAGGTCAGGGACACAGAAGGAGACACAATGATGAAAGCCAAAAGTCAGGGATACCAGAATACAGGGAAGTCAAAATGAAGAAAAAGTCAGAAACCAGAAATAAATGCTCAGGAACACACTCTCGGATGACCTACTAAGGGAAACCACGTCAGGGCAGTGATCAAAAGGTAATTTGGGTTTAAATAACCCTCCTAGAGCTGTAATTGGCTTATATGTGACCTCTGACCCCAAAACGTGCGTGCATGTCAATGACGCGACGCTGCAAGCACGTAAACGCCATCTTTAATATGGGCAAGAGGTATTTCTTTAATAGAACTGGAACTGCAGCGGCCGGTGTCTCTAAAAACGCCGCACACGCTGGGAACAGAGATGAAAGGAGGTCAGGTCTTGATCTGACGCGAGTAAATGTTTGTTATTTCTGTCGGTGTGACCACTGGTTTTCAGTGCGGTCACGCCGACAGAAGCCAGCGGCACCGTGACACTGCCCCAGGAAGCACCTCCAGCAGCCATCTAAGGAGTGGCCAGTGGAGTTATTACTAGGCTGTAATGTAAACACTGCATTTTCTCTGAAAAGACAGTGTTTACAGCAAAAAGCCTATAAATAGTCCTAGGTATGTACTGACTGCATTAGCAGTGTAGACTAGTATATAATTTATTTAATAAAATGCTAATATCTCATCTCCAGGTTTATAAGTTATCATCTAAACATGTGGGCTGCCATGTGTAGCATGTTGGTGATGTCAGAAATAAGAATTACTTTTAGGATATGTACCAATGTTTATTTTGGTCCCTATGTTAATCCGTTTTCTTCTTTGGCTTAACCCAGACATAGGTAAACTCACAGATTTCTTACTTGAAATCATTACATTTTCACATTGGTGATAAATTATAAAGCAATCAATGCAGGCAACAGCATATTCATATTGGATTCTACAAAGGGGAATTCAGCCTAAAAGCCTTAGTCAAAAATTTTACAAATCCTTTATTGTACTGTAAAAATTAAAATGAAAAAATGAAAAATTAAAATGAAGTCACCCAGACCACTTCAGCTCAATGAAATTGCATCCAGCGTGCAGAACGTCCATAGGAAAGCATTGAGAAATGCTTTCCTATGGACTGTTTGAATGCGCACGCGGCTCTTGCTGCGCATGCGCATTACGCTCCTATTGGGAGCTGACGTCAGCGGGGGAGGAGAGGTCACCAGCGCCGAGGGAGCCCGGCGCAGGATTAAGGTAAGTTGCTGAAGGGTTTTTACCCCTTCAGCCCAGCCAGAGGGGGCCCCTAAGGGTGGGGGGATCTAGGGGTTATATAGTGTCAGGAAAACGAGTTTGTTTTCCTGACACTATAGTGATCCTTTAATGCATTTAACGTGTTAACGCATTTTAAAAAGTTCAGCTTTTCAAACCTATGTTAAGGTGCACCCTATACCTTGTTATCACACTTCATTGTATCGCTAAACCAGACCCATTCAGATATGGACACAGCACACTGCATGAAATTCCATCTGCATGGGATTTTCAAATATCATGCTGACATCATTTGTCTTCAAGACGAGTGGCTTCACCTTGATTGACACCTACTAAGTAAATTATACCTTGCACTAAACAATTAGCAATCTTGACCCAACCTGAAAATACTTTCTCCAACAAATTATCCTTCAAAACATTACTGAGCCCATTATTCTGTATTGCAATGCAGTCTTAGCCAAAATAAGATGCAACTCTTAAGATGGCAATGAGAGATGTCATTTGATTTCCAAAGCTTGTAGAAATTAAAATGTCTTTCTAAAGAGAAAATATCCGATATTAAAATGTCTTAATAATAGCTGAGAAGAGAGCAAAGAAAGATACAGCGTAGCTAAATATGCCACAATAAGAGGGAAGAAGGTATTGTAAATTCACAATTCTAGAAAGAGCTGCGCTGAGCTGGGAACCCCTATTTAGTTCTTGTTTTCAGAAAAGACATCTCCAGTAAAGATCTAAAGATATCTAGTTAAAGCCTACCTATTTTACTGACTCAAATATATTCTATATTACATCCTGGTCATAAACAACTGGTCAGTAATGAAAACTGGATTTGAACTGGAGCTCCAATGTATTTAATAATGTGAAAAATGAGGTACTGGAAAAAAATTAACAATAACTATTCTAGAAGGGCATCTTCAATTGTATGGGCGTGCTATAACAGCACCATATATTAAAATATACATACAGGAGCTTGTCTGATAAACGTAATGCGTTGTGCCTATATATAACATTTTGAAAAAGCATGATTAAATATTTAAACATCCATCATTTTACCTTGGTAATGCAGGCTTGTATAACATTAAGTATATATGGATATTTATTCACAAAATGCAGGGAGTTGTAGTAAACAATCAAACGATTTATTATTATTTCTGCCCAATCATTTTACCTATGCATGGACTGGCTTTTACTGAAAGGAAAACTCCCAGTGCCATAAATCCTGCAGCTCTCTGCAGTGCTTATGGGTTCTGTCGCCTAGGCAGGAACATCTATTAGCTCATTGGCTGAGAGTGTCAGAAGATCGCTCTGAGATAATGAGCTAACAAATGCTCCTGGTTAGGAGGTTCCAACTCGCTGGCGTGGAAGATCCAGTGGACACGAAGTATGAAGTCAAACTGTTCAAAAACTGTTCGACTATTGTTATTAATATTATTGGCATTTATATAGCGCCAACTCTTCTGTTAGAAGAAAGGGGAAATTTAACAAAAATCAGACAATAACAAAATGCTACAGGAACAATAGGTTGAGAACCCTGCTCAGATGCGCTTACAGCCTTACAGTCTAGAGGAGGGGGTTGAGGGGTGATGCCAGGACACTCTTGGTGTCATAACCACTACATCAAACTAAGGGGTTGCAGGGATTAAAGTGTTCCTTTAAAGTGATAAAAAAAAAAAATCACACAGAACAATCCATCGAAATATCTTTAAAGTGCACAGAAACTAGTGCAAAGTTCCTGCATAACTACATGGTTTTGTATCCACAAGAAAATATCTGCCTAATGTAGTCACTACAAAGCTCTAGTCATGCTTTAATTAACCTGAGAAAGCGATTATGCAAGAGGGTGGGGTGAAGATATCTGTACAGGTTCATCAACATAAGTGGGACAGTAACATTTTCACAGAAATCTCAGGTTTATTATTCTTACTTTTTTTTTTTTACTTATCCATTCAGAAGGTTAAAATAATAATAATACCTCAAAGTACACTCATGATAGTAAATATTGCTAAAGCCACACCTTCAGGACTGTCAGGTTATACCAGTTAGGATAGGATCGAGCTCACAGAGACAGAGTTTAATTTCTGCTATCACAGCCAGAAAAGTCATAACCTATTTAATCACACTAATATCTTTACAACCATTATCAAGGGAATTAGCATTAATTCTTTCTTATGAAACACTAGTAAGGCAAGGCCCTGGTTCGCTTTGTAGAGCTAACCCGATTTTCCTGCATGTGAAGACTGGAAGTATGTTGGGGCTGCAGCCGCAAGAACCCAGGAAATATGACTTTTAATGGGATGGTGCCAGTGTTGTGGTTATGGTGTTTGGAGTGTTCCTTTCATTTCTAAGGGGAATTCTGTCTATTTGTAACTATAAGCAAATATATTACTATTTATTCTCTTGCCTTTTTGAAACTACTTCAGGTCATGTCGTGTGCTCCATGGTGCTTGGGGCAACCGTTTTACCGAATGACTTCTTTTTAGCGCAATAATGTGAAAAACCCTATATTTTGCAAAGTTTCATGAATTGACATGGAAAGAGATTCTCCAATGAAATATATGGGTACATCACACAAAATGAAATATAAATACAAACTGTAGATAACTATTTCGTCCTTTAACTTACAGATTTACTCAGGAATATTGACTGAATCTCTTTTAAAAGGTGTCTTAGGTTGCCTTCTCATCATCATTATTATTACTGGCATTTAAGAAGAGCCAACATATTTCGCAGCGCTGTACAATTGGGAGAATAGCAGCAGAATTTATACAGACTAATGCAAAATGTTAAGAGGTCCCTGTCTGTGAGGTTAGATCTAGCCATTGGAGCTATTGTATACAGAATGCTTAGTTGGATAACCCGTGAGTTTACAATCTAAAGGTTATAAATGGGATATGAGACAAGATGTAGCAGGGGGAATTAGCAAGTGATGGCCAGAGAAAATTAAAGGCAAGTTACAGCTACTGGTAAAATGTAAAGGGAATGATGAGGAGGTAGTTAAAAAAGGATCTAACACAGCTGGAGAAAAATGCTGTAAATTTAGAAGGTAACATATTCAAAAATAACTTTAACAGGATGTACTATAAATGTACTAAAAAAAAATTACAACAAATAAAGTTAGTGAAATAGACTGTACAGTTTGGTAAAACAAATCTAAATGCATCCTTTTCAGATGTTCAAACCCATTCATAAATGTGGTCCTGAAACAATTTTTAAACATTACCACATGCTCTGATTGACACCGAAAAACTGTGTTTAATTGAATTCGCCTCATGGAAAGATTGTTTTCAGCTTAGAATCTGTGAACGATGCAAGCCTCTATATTTAATTACTACATTCTGTTAAACAGAGGACCTCTCTGTGGACATATTTTTAGATATCAATATTATCTCTTTCAGCTTGTATCATGTGCTCCACCAAGGGAGCTAAAAGCCCTAAAGCTCTCCTCGATGTTTATTGCCTTTTATTAAGAGAAGCTATAAAATGTGCTGCAGAAACAGGGCTTAATGAAAAAGACTTCATGTGCAGGCAAGGCACATCCTAACATAGATTTGAAGACGAGCATAAGTCATATTTGAGGGCAACAAAACAAGTCCTTTCTAAATCTGAAATAAAATTGATGGTTTGGTAAAACTAGTCAGAGGTATTCAAGCAAGTCATGAAGGGTGTGCCTAGAACATAATTTCAATTTGGTTTTATCCTGAGCTATCAGTAAAATGTTGGTCACACGGTTTAGAACTTTTTCAGACATAATTGCACTACATCTCCCAAAAACAATGTAGTCAGGATCTTTTTTAGTAATTATATTTAAGTGACAACAATTAAATTGGCTATCTGGTGTTGTGTGTAACTGGAACAAAAAAAACCCAAAACATGTCTTTGATAAATTGACACATTCCAATTGTGGGGAAAACACAGTCATGTAAAAATGGTATTGGATTGGCATATTAAAGGGACACTCCGGACCCGTAAAGCACTTTAACTTGCTGACATGCTTGTTCTGTGAAGAACAAGTCCTCCTACTTTAATTTAAACAATAAGTGCACATTTCAATAGAATTTAGGCACTTTCATAAATAAACCTTGCTACGCCAACCTGTAATTCAAGGAGACAACCAGTCCTGTTACTTCCTGGTTTGGTAAGCAATTGCCCAGAGCACCTGCCTTACAAAGACAGCCACAGAAAGTATGGGCTTGCAAAGTGTTCAGACAAGAGATCTGCAGCTTTTGCAAGATGTTTTTAGATTTACCCAATTTAAAAATGCATAATTAACTGCATGCATATTTTAATTTCTGTTATTTGTGCAGTGGAGTGTCCCTTTAAAAAAAAAAAAAAAACAGTTAACAGTAGCTTACGTTAGCTCTCCTAAACTAAGCTATGCAGTCTAATGTCAGCTCAATGAGTGAGAGCATCAACTAATCGCTCTCAACCAATGAACTAAGCTCTAGACCACCAGCCTTAGCCAGGACCGCCATTGGGTGGGTGGATTACAAGCGACACGTGTGTAATGGGCCCAGGCCACTCGGGGACCCGAATCAACAAGCAGAGGGCTAAGCAGTCTATTTGGGGCAATATACATATATTCTGAGTTTGAGGCTGAGCGGGGCACTTCACCTCATTCCTCTCCTGCACGACATCAGTGGGAGAAGGTGATATCAGATCACTTACTACGACTGCAAGAAGGAAGAAAACCCTGCACTCCCTGGGTATAATATCTTTGTCAGTATCTGTGTGTGTGTTAACCTTTATATATGTATGTTGTGGGGGGTGTCTGTGTATGTGTATGTGTAGCAGTATGTATAGCAGTATGTATCTGTGTGTTTGTGGCAGTGTAAATCTTTGTTTGGCAGTGTGTATCACTTTGTGTATATGTGTAACAGTGGGGATCTGTGTGTGCTGTATGTGTGTGTGTATCTGTATGTGGCAGTGTGTATCTGTGTTTGTATACATTTGGCACTGTGTTTGTGAAAGTGTATCTGTGAGTGTGGTGATATGCATCTGTGTGTATGTATCTGTGAATATGTATCTATGTATATGGGTGTGTAAGCCTGCATTTGTTTATGCTAGTGGGTGTGTGGTGGGGGAGGACAGGACAATGGTTTTGTAAGAGGTCCCAAGAATTGTGCTGACCGTGCTGTGTTTAGCTCTGTCAGAGAGCTTCCGGGATGCAGAGAGGCAGGGACTGGCAAATCACAGACCCCAGATAAGAAGTTAGTAGTACAGAGGAGTTATTCGGTAGCCATTTTATGATGGAGCATGCTGCACTGCACCAAAATAAAACAAAGGATTTGTGTTGTCAAGAACAGTAGCTTCAGGGCAAAGAATTCCCTAGCTAGTTTTTGGGTACATGAGAGTCATCGACTAGAGAAAAAAAGCCCAAGGTCCACACTCAATCAATGACTTGGAATATATAAACTGTAATAATTATAAAACAATAATTACTGTATATTAATTTATATAGTTTGTGCATATATATATAGAGAGAGGATATATATCATATTTAAATATATTTAAAAACACTCATTACAGAAAGCTAGTTAATCATACAAAAGATTAATAGTACAGCCTTCTCTTTCCAATACTATGAACAGGTGCAAACGTTATTCTAGTCAGACAGACATAGGCACGCAAAGCCACTGACAGTGTGTGTGAGAGAAGGGGAAAGGATGTAAACAGGGGATTAAGAACAAAACCACACCCCAGACATAACACAGTGTCAGCGACTTAAAAACCACTAGCAGAGGAGGTGTAACAGTTAAGACATTGGAGCTTCCGACTTTATTGAGTCTACAATACAAAGGTTGTTTACGGTTACACAGCATAAATTGCAACATCTGCCGACAACTCTCTATTTATACCATTTACTTAATCGTTTATCGTCTGCAGGAAGTGAAGACGGACATGATAGCATAGTCTAGGAACCTTTTCATAGAGGGGGAAATGATAGCCTTTTCTAGGTAAATTGGTATTTCTGTTTAGTAATGTGTGCTAACTCATCACATAGAAATTAAAATACTGGTTTCATATTAATTATATCTTTAATTGGGAGGCCATCTGCGTTAAAGACTGTTCTTGTTTTTGTTGGTATTTCCTTTACTCATAACAATTAATCACACGTTCTCTATTTAGTAATATTTATTATATTACATTATATGTTTGAGTGTATTATTTATACATTTTAATGTAGACTGTTATACGGTAATAATGATAGGTTGTTTGAATGGTAAATAAATACTAAAGAGCATAAGCATATTTTAACCTGGTAATTTTTTACAGTAACGTCATGTTTATAAATTGAAAATTGCTCATTATATTTTGCCATCTGTACCTCCTTAATTAAGGTTTGATAACATTTTACAGACTATTGGAATTTTTTTTTATTTTTTTTTATTAACATTTATAAAAATGAAATAGTGAGTAAAAAAATATTTGTGTATAATGATGAATAATACTGTAGAAGTAGGTTGGCATTAGTACTCCAGGCAGCCGTAAGACTGGTTGGGCATCAAAAAATGAATACAGTTTTTATTATTAGGAGAGGCGGTCTGCCCTAGTGTGGATAGTGGGTTTGGTATGGGATGTGAATGTTATGTCTGTAACGGATATGATTATTACCTCTGAAAATCAGCATGCTATGTCAATGCTAACAGTTAAATAAAGAATAAAAAAAAAAAAAAAACAACAATGTTTTCTGCAGAACCTTGCAACAGATGAAATAGCAACAACTAGAGGATAAAGACAGAACAATATATAATTATAAAAACCTGATACAAGAGGAAATGAGAACCGTGCACCTGGAGATGGAGGAAAGATATACCTGTTATAGTACTAGAGAACAAAAGAATGCAGAGGGTGCATCATTTCTGAGGGTTAGGGGACTTAGGGATCCACTTTACAGCCACCACTTCCACTAGTGCTACAGCAGTGAACCCAGAATCCAGAACTCACAGCACATCATTGGTACCTAAGGCTGGATTGATTGGGATATACTATGTACCTGGTCTGGTAGAGGCACACAACGACACCTTGCACCAACACCTCTAAAATAAGTATGATGTTATGATCGTTATGATGTTTAGAATGTCCCTTTAAAAGGTATTTCAATTAATGGAGAAAAGCTAACTTATGTTACCAACCGTTACTCACTAAAGTAGTTGCTGCTAACTTCAGGGAGAAGCATCTTTTCCACATGAAAAACCACACATAGTATAGCTTAATGGATACAACCTTGAATAATGGTGGCATATTTTGTACCATTATACTTAATTATCAATACGCAAAACTGACCCCTGTTTTTTTTAATTGCAATTTGACAAAAGAAGCTACAAACTCTATATATACGCCAGTTAATGTTGAAAATAATCATTTTGTAACTAAAAATATAGTAAATCCTGTTGATCACTATGATTTTATTTTTTAAATTAAGACCTTAAACTATTCATCACATGTTTACTACTTAGTAAGTTAGGAAACTCCTTATGTCATTTGTTATAACATGCCAATGAATGGATTGTATGAGTTTAAAAAAAATTAATGAAAATGGGAGATTTGATAAGGACACCATGGTGTCTTCAGAGTCCTTTTCTATTTGTTCCAAAATTAATGGAATATATATAGTGTATCACCCGTGTCCTTACAAGGCACACGTTATAGTTAACATTTTATCTATATTTTGTCCTAGTCAATTTGCCAACACATATGGCTGCAGGAACCAATCAGCAAGTGTGTGCCCACACCAAATGTTGCTTATAATATCCACTATACCAGTGTTACACTCATATTACACTCAGCCAACCAATAGATTAAATGAGTATTGTATAAACATATGTTACACATACAACTGCAGTGCTTTGATTGATTATCAGTACTGGTGACCACTTTCCATAGATGATAGTGGACTCTCTCTTCTATGGCGCACACCCGTCTTTAGTAGAAGGGGATCTTCTCTCTTTTGCTCACCTCTGCATACAGGAAATAAGGATTTTGAATAGTCTATTGTAAACAGCACTTTTATAAACTGTTAAAATGTGACAGGTTTCCAGACACAAAGTACTTCAGCAAGCTTGTGTCAGACACAAGACTCTCTAGTGGCCGTCTGAGTGACTGTCACTAGGCGTGTTACTAGGCAGCAATGTAAACTCTGCCTTTTCTCTGAAACAGTAGTGCTTACATTGAAAAAAACTACAGACAGGCTATAGACGCCAGAATAACTGCATTATTAATAACTATAGTGTTCCTTTAAGAATTGCATTTTTCTCGTTGAAAACTAAACTTTTTTAATTTAAAATAAACTGGCTCTTACCTTCTTTAGCTGGCTCCTAGATTACAAACTAATTTGTCAAGCCCTGCAATATATCCACAGCTAATAATGGAAAAGTATGTCCAGAAAAGCATTTCAGTGTTAATGCCCTGCAAATTCACATGTCAATTAAATGAAGGAAAATAACTAACTGGTGTGTGATTAGATTTACAAAGTTACAAAATATAAAACAGAGAATAATTGGTAATGTGTGTCCAGTGGTTGAATGATATCATTCAAAGCTTGAACTTAATGAAGTGAATCTAATGAGCAGCGGCATTCCGAGAGAGAGGTTGTGAAATTAAAGGGAATGTGTCTACAATAAAAGTGTCATAGTAACTGGGTACAAATAAAATATATAATTTTAATCTAATTCATGTCTGAATAATGTTTACGAATTGTGTTGTTGAGTTGTTACTCATAGAGGATACACCTATGCTCATGTACTTTTTATTAGTCTAGGCCCAGTCATGCAGCCGTCAGTAAAACTAAATTGTGCTAGGTGTATACTGTAGGGAATTAAATCTAAACATCCAAGTAGCCATGGTGCAAGGAACAATCTGCTCCATGCGATGAAAATATTTTTATACTTTTTTTCTGGTGTACAAGTATCATCATTAAATTGTGAACATACCTCCTAAGATTTCAGCTGGACAAAGAGGGACACTTTTAATTTAGAAGTGTAAATAGAGGTGTGGCTGGGGGCAGGGCTGTTATGATAAATTTTAGGTGACTTACTAATAACAAGTAATGCAACCAAAATTTAATTTTAAACAAGAACACTGTATCTTATTTACACAGGCTGATTTCTTAACGCATTAATTGTACTTTAAAGACACTTTACTGTGAGTATTATTGCAGTGGAGCTCTGTTATACACTCAGACACAACGACAGTATGGAGCTCCTAGAAAAGACAGACATTAGGATAGAAAAGATTGACAGAGTGATTTGTGCCCAAAATGGGTAATGTCACTCTTAAATAGGGACACTTGGGAGGTATGTGTCAATACTACTTTGAACCATTTTATTTAAAGTGACACTATAGTCACCATAACCACTACAGCTTACTGTATTTCCTGCAGTCTTAGCACTGTAAACACTTCCTTTCCAGAGAACAAACAGTGTTTATATAGCTGCCCAAGAACACCTCTAGTGGCAGTCACTGAGATGAACACTAGAGGTGCTTCCTATCTCAGTGCTGCACAGTGTGCACTGGAGTTCAGCATCTCTACACTCTGTAAAGGGCGCTGAACGTTCCCTATAGAAGAGCATTGATTCAATACATCTCTTGGTGAAGCCCGGCATTTTAACACGCATGCGCAATAGCCTCTCAATGCATTCATGGGGAAAGCATTAAGTTGGCTGAGATCATCATGACCTATGATCTCAGCCATGGAGCCGGAGCCATGCAGGGCCAGCTGTGGTTAGACTGGCACGGTGTGGAAGGAAAGGTGAGTAAAATACCCTTTTCCATGCGATCTAAGGGGGGGGGGGGGACCGAAATAGTTAAACACTATAGTGTTAGAAATACATGTTCATATTCCTGACACTACAGTGTTCCTTTAAACAATGTCAGCTTGGAGTCTTGTATCTCTTGTGCAGAAATAATTTGCAGGCATTTCTGTTCTGGACTGCCCTTATGGGTGGGATCAGTCTGATATGCAATGGTATAGGTTCACTCTGTAATCGCACAAGTGAGCAAAACTCAGAGTTCTCATAGTCTTTGTTTTTGCTGCAATGTCAGAAATATTTTACTTAAAAGTAAGAAAATGTGCAAAGTAAGAAACAACTTAATACTGAATATTTATTATGAATTTTTTTTTAAACTACTGTCTAATTCCAATAAAGAGAAACTCTCATGACAGATTAACCACTCACAGGGCAAATATGATTTATTGGTGCAGCGCCGCCATCTTGGAAAATCTGTGGGTTTGACGGTGCTGTAATACCCACCCCTCTGATGCTGCCACCTGCTTTGATTTTGCGTGTTTGGGACACACACAGACACACATATAGACACAGTAGTAAAGGGTCAGCCCTGATAGAACAATATGCTGATAGAACACATATAGACACACATGCAGATGCACATACATAGAATTGCACTCATACAGATATAAAGATATAAACAGTGACACACATACAGATACATAGGGGCACACACTGACACACATGCAGATACACATACAAACACACATGCAGACAAACAGATACACATACAGACACACATGTAGGCACAGATACACAAACAGACACACATGTAGACACAGATACACAGAGACATACAGATACACATACAGACACATATGCAGACAAACACAGACACATACAGAGAGATACACATACAGACACGCATGAAGATACACAGAAACACTGACAAACATTCAGATACACATACAGACAAAGAGATATATATACAGACCCACATGCAGACAAAGAGATACAGACAGACCCACATGCAGACAAACATATACACACACACACACATACAGACATACAGACACAAACACACACATACAAACATACACACACACAGACATACATACAGACACACACACACACAAACAGACATACACATACACACAGATATACTGATACAGACATTCTCTCTCACACACACAGTGGTGTATCCTGGTTTTGTGCTGCCCTAGGCTAATACGCGGCTAATACGTCCCTGCACACACACATGCAAAGTGTTAAGAAAAATGTAATGACTTCCCTAGGATCCAGTGGCAGTCCAGGAACTCCCACTCTGACTCCCTCCTCTCCTCCCCCGCAGAGCTCTGTTAGCTGGGAGGAAGTGATGGCTTCCTCGCAGCTCGGACGTCATCACTGGGGCCCGGTCGCATAGCGCTGCATCACTGACCAGGCCGAAATTCATTGCCATCGGGTGGTGGGGTCCCTTCAGTGCAGCCCCGGCGGTTTTTCCGTGCGGCTAGGGATTAGAGTGATGAGAGCATAGAGAAGGATGGTAGCGGTGGAAACATAAGGATGGCTGGGAATGATGGGATAATAGGAAGGGAGTGAGGGGGTTGGGAAGAGATGGATTGGAGTGATGCGAGGACAGGAGAGAAAGAATAAATTGGAGTGATGGGAGCATAGAGAAGGATGATAGTGATGGAAACAAAGATGACTTGGGGTGATGGGATAATAGGAAGGGAGTGAAGGGGATAGGAAGCCATGGAGTGATGGGAGGTCATGAAAGGAATTATGGATTGGTGTAATAGGTGGATAGGGTGGGAGAGAGTAGACTGATGGGAGTATAGGGATTTCTGGGAGCTATGGGAGAATAGAAAGATAATGAGAAATGGATTGGAGTATTGGGAGTACAGAGAGGAAAATATGTATTGGAGTGATAGGAGGACAGATGGAGGGTTAAGGAGGGAGAGACTGGAGTGATGGGAGCACAAGGAGTCATGGTAGCATTGGGATGGTTGGGTTTGATTGAAGGACATGAAGAGTCCTAGTGAGTGGGGCCTGATGGGAAAGACAAAGTGATGTAACATGCCCTTTCCACTACAAGCTCCTCTCACTAAGAGGAAACTGCAGAGAAAGCAGTGTTAGGCTGGCTGCCATGGGCACAGAGAGCAGGGAGAGCTTTTAATCTTGTTGCAGGATCAGGGACAGAGCCAAAACTCCATGCTCAGTCAGAGGCCTACCAAGTCTGAAGGCAGCCACTTTATGGATAATCCAGTCCTGCTGCAATGACAGGAAGACTGCCTGATAAAGGCATGCTGACACAGAGTGCTAATGCCACGGATTTGATTGGCAGGAGGAGGTGGAACCATATTATTAATATTACATTTAAAATCTATTTATTTTCTAGCACAATGTATAGTTTGAATTTGAAATTTTATGTGTACCATAGTAGGTACACATTATGGCTGAACTGGTTGAATATGCTGTTTAAATGAATGTTTAACCAATACAAGGCATTCTTGTTAAAATTATTTAGGCAGGTCTGCACTAAAGAATATCTCTCTGTGCCAAACACCACAATATCTCTTGACCCATGTCAAATGAACTCTATCATCATCATACTGCACAATCATAATTATAGGTGATAATGCATTTTCGCCTGTCGTCTTTCATATGGGTGCCAAACTAAACGAAATTCAAGCTTTTATTTCCACATACTCTGGAGGACAAAGTTCTCTATGTAGTTTATTATACTTGTAACTCACTCCCAAAATATCAATCTCTATGGTTATAGTCAGCCATACAGAATAACACCATATCAGTTATAATGTGAGCAAACCATATGAATTTTTTTTTTTCTGTTTAATAGAAACAAAGGTCAAATAGAATGCACGTAGTATAGGGATGAAAGGGCATTTACTTCTTCACAATAATTTTCCATGTCACTGAGCCTTCACTGCTCAAATTGCCCTGATTTCAGGATCCCGTTCCATCATCCAAATTTTGTTCCCTTGTGTCCCAAATCTGGGATATCTGTGAGCTGTCCCCAACCAGCACAGTGCAAGTGTATTATTAGACTAGGACCATGTAGTGAGTGCTTCAGGACCTGGCCAACCAACCTGCCATAACCCTTTTCTTCTCTATGTAACACTGACTTTTTCTTGCTGGGACTCCCCATTTAGGAAGGCAGGAGTGACCCAAATGATATCATCGGCATGCCCCTTTTGACCTGCCCATCTAACTGTATCGATTTCATACCCCCAATTTTAGGTATGATTTTTCACAGTGAGAAATTTTCTTTCATATACAATTGACAGAGTAGATCCTAACTGCTGCTGTCTTATTGCAGGAACAGAAAGAGAGAGCAAATACCAATGTTATCTTGGTAAACTCTGGAGATGGGACACTGTGTCTAGCCAAATCCAGGTAAGAAGTCAATGAGTTCTAAAAAGGTTTGAATCTTTACAATGGGATAGTGCCATGACCAGTATACTTGTAGTGCTTTTCTACCTGGGAGATGGGCATGATGACTACTTTTACAAATAAGTGTGGGTGAGGGGGTGGGGGGCGGGTTGGATGTAAACCTGAAGCAAATTATCTGAATACAAGCAGTCTTTAACAAAATATGTTTTATTTCATATAGATGTGCCCTTCAAAAAACATAGCTGCTATTTCATTATTACACAACATACTTTTAGTTCTGTACCAGCTCATATAAAAATGCAAGGAAGTAGTTATTGTTTAGTAGAAAAGAGGAGATGGCAGATTAAAAACATTTAAATCATCTACTCATTTTGCATATTTTTCCTTTGTGATATCAATATTATAACTCCCACTATTTCAAAAGAGTTACTCATTTCAGAAGATTTAATTATGGCCAAATGCAGGCCTTCTACCAGGATATTTTAACAAACTTTATGAACTTTATTTATGTAACTAAAAATGTCATTTAGACTCAATCTACACAGACTAATTTTTAAACATATTATTTCCAGTTTAAGGACATTATGTTTTATCACTATAAAGTCTGTTAAGCACTCAGACATACCAATAATTCAGAACTGATATTAACCCTTAAGGACTGGACTGTTTTTGCGATGTTGTACATTTGCGACCAGGCATATTTTACACTTTTGTGGTGTTTGTGTTTGGCTGTAATTTTCCGCTTTCTCATTTACTGTTCCCATACAAATTATATATTGTTTTTTTCAGGACAAAAGGGGCTTTCTTTACATACCATTATTTATATAATCTCATGTATTTTAATTTAAAAAAATAAAAAAATCTGATGAAAAATTGAAAAAAATACATGTTTTTTGACTTTTACTTGAAAAATCTTTTACTCATCTACAAAAAGCGAATGAAAAAAACTGCTAAATAGATTCAAAATTTGTCCTGAGTTTAAAAATACCTAGTGTTTACGTGCTTTTTTGCTTTTTTTTGCATGTTATGGGGCTATAGGTACAAGTAGGATATTGCGGTTTCAAAACATACATTTTTAAAATTTATCAATAGTGACATTGTAACACTATTATCTGTCATAAATCTCTGAATAACACCCCACATGTACATATTGTTTTTAAAGTAGACAACCCAGGGTATTCAATATGGGGTATGTCCAGTTTTTTTTAGTAGCCACCTAGTCGCAAACACTGGCCAAAGTTAGCGTTCATATTTGTTTTTGTGTGTAGAAAAGTAAAAACTAGAACCGGAGCTAATTTTGGCCAGTGTTTTCCTGAGCACACTAAGTGGTTACTAAAAAACTGGACATACCCCCATTTATATATAACAAGGTTGTCTTCTTTACAAATGTTAGCATACCATCATGGGGGTAATTCTCATTCCTGGAGCTGCCATAAATACTCAAAGGGCAAGCGTAGCCAACCTGGCCATTTTCAGTAAAATATTTGACCATATATTTGACCTTGTAACTCCAAAATGCTATAAAACCTGTACATGGGGAATTTTGTTTTTACTGGGAACATAAAGCTAAACACAAATATTAGTGTTTAAAAACTGGAAAACGTATCACAACAATTATATCATCAGTAAAAGTGCTGTTTGTGTGTGAAAAATGCAAAAAAAGTAACTTTCACTTACAATATCATCGCTGTGATATGTTTTACTGTTTTGAATCACTAATATTTGTGTTCAGCGAAGTCTCCCGAGTAAAACAGTACCCCCCATGTACAGGTTTTAGGGTGTCGTAGAACGTTACAGGGTAAAATACAGTGCTAGCAAATTAAATTCTCTGGAATTTCGGCCTGGGTTGGCAGGCAGGTCCTCAAATTGCAATCAATAAAATTACTGAATTATGTAAAAATATTACATAAATACGCACGTAGAATTTAAATATATATGCATATTTATATATTTGAAGTCTACGTGTATATTTATATAATTATTTATGTAATTTTGTATATGGACGTATGTATATTTCTTATTTTTATTTATTTTTATATACATAGATATATATACAAATTCATTCTAAGTGTATTTTGATATAAATATATATATATTAATTTTAAAATACAGTTAGAATAAAATTTCATATAGCTATATAATTTTTTTTAAATTTTTTATTATTATTTAAAAAAATTTTTTATTTAATTTAAATTACTTATTATTTATATTTTATAATAATATATATATACAATATATATAGTTATTATATATATTATATATATACGTGTGTAATTTAATTATAAGTGTATTTTTATATTAATATAAGTACATATTAATATAAAAATACACTTAGTATGACATTATATATATATGATATATAGACATATATTATATATGTATAATATATGTCTATATATCATATATACACATATATAATTATTTTTATTTTTTTTATTAACACTAACTTTAATTTATTTTTTGATTTTACACATGCAGGGAGACTGCCTGTCAGCACAGACAGTCCCCCTGCAGGCAGACACATGGACACCTATTGTGACCATGTGATCGCTGTGTTAAGCGATCACATGGCCACAGGGGTCCTAATCTGCCGTGGGGAGACTGCCTGGGCTGCAGGCAGTCTCCCCACAACCGGAGCCACACTGATCGCCGCCGGGGGAACGACGGCGATCAGGTAAGTAGCTCTGACCGTTAGGACGGTTCAGGACCGTCATCGGTCGGCAACGCAAAAATGCCGATGACGGTCCTGAACCGTCCTCGGTCCTTAAGGGGTTAAAGAGGCATAACAAGGCGACAGTGTCTTCCAAAGAGGGGTCACGTGGAGAAGACATGTTGCATATCCCAAGCATCCCTGATTCAATTTGCTTCCACTAAACTTGATGCTCATAATACAAACTAAGTCACTGACTTACTTTTTGATCTCATTGATCTCATCCTGGATTAGCTCATCTCATGGTCATGGTAGATTGCCAGCACATGCGGTTCTGTTTGCTTATACCAACCATTTATATACCAGAACTCTGGCCATTTTAATAAGTTCACTTCAGAATATTGAATCGTCAATCCATATTCCGTGGATACCATAGTGATATTCACATCCTTTTGCCACCTCAACCTTAACTTGGCTTACAAACTCTTAAACTTATACCCACCTGCAGACATACATACATACTGTCAACAATAAATGGTGCCCGGTCAACATACTACACCAAATTGTCCTACACTCAAAGGACTACACAGGTATATGCTTCTCTTTTAAGGTTACATGTTAACCATTCACTACATCAAATTCATCCTGTACGTCAGGACACAATTCATAAAACTCTGATTCGACCCTTCATCATATTCAGATCATTCTTTTAGAATAAGCACTACTTCTGCAGCCTTTAGTAAACATCCCAGCGCACATCATAAACTGAGACATTGGAATTGTCTGCATACACCAGATATCCCTCAAATGGACAGGGAACTGAGGCAGGCATTTAAAGTACTGGTTATGTAATGTCAACACGTACTAAGGATTAAACTGTTAAACTTTTTGCCCTCTTCTACAGGCCAACCCGAATGTCGGTTCCGGCACACCACAACCGACTTTTACCACCACTACTATAACTCAGCTTATTGTCCCGACTACAAATAGAAAGGCAGAGCCTGTAGTTGTGGGAGGGGTTTGTCCGGCCTATAAATTCACAGGCCTCCTCTTCCTCTGGGCCAAGACTTCCTGGTTAAGCCCACCCACCGTTCCCTTTAATAAGCATTCACTTAGTGGGCCCTCTTTTACAGGCCTACCCGAACATTGGTTTCAGCACACCACAACCGACTTGTACCACCACTACTATAATTTGGCTTATTGTCCCCGACTACAAATATATATATATATGAGTACACCTCTCACATATTTATAATTATTATTTTCTTTTTTAAATTCTTTATTTTTGTTTTGACACAGAGTACGGCATTGCAGTATACATTGGCTCACGCAGGGGCCGGTTGTGAATAAGTTTTACATTGCATGTTACAGAATAGGAGTGGTTTTACAGGTTAAATAATATTCCTGGTTTGTGGCTCAGTGTCGCTTTTTTGCAATTTTGGTGGGCATATCGTGTCCACGAATAAAAGATAAAATATAACAAAACAGAACAAAACAAAGCTACGCAATACGTATCCAGACTATACTAAATAGACTCACATTTGTTGAAGTGGTCAGTGTTTCTGTACAGAGCAATTTGTTATTTTGTGCTTTTGTTTGTCGTTTATGTCCGCTGCTGCGTTTGAATTGGACTCTTGCATTATTGGTCACTAAGGTCGTGTAAGTCTGTTCCTGACAGTGGCTTTTATTGTCTTCCCGCCCTATGTGCATCCCTATCCAGGATGTCAGTCCAGTCATGGGTTTTGGTGCCCTTTCGAGTTCTTTCTTCTAGCCCTGAGGGTTATCGTGTTTAGGTCCTGGAGCAGGGTCTTAATTTAGGGTGGTCGTAGTGCTTCTCTTATTGTTCGCTGTGCCAGCGTCTTTGTTTAGTACTACCCTTTCGTCTGCCATCTATTAGATTCTTCTTTTATGGCGTGCTTAAGGCACTGGGGAGTTTGTGGGCAGTTTTTCTGTCGATTACCTCCTCCAATCTGTTTGGAGGAGGGGAGTTGTGGGGAGGGGAGTGGAGCAAGGTTGGGAAGAGCAGGTGGGGGGTGTTTTTTGTCGGGGCGCGCGGCGGATCGAGGCCCCCTCCTGGACCCCTGTCTCTTCCCATTTTGGGGGAGTTTATTTGTTAGCATAGTCTTCCCAGGGTTGCCAGATTTTGTGGAATTATTTTTCTGTGTTTCTAATTTGGGCTGTGAGTTTGTCCATCAGATATGTATCTTTGATTTTAACTATCACGTCATGGGGTATCGTGGGCTTCAGCCGCGCCTGAGCTAGAGCCCTTCTGGCTGCTAGTGTGATTTTATTGAGGAGTTGTTGTTCCTTCCTGGGGAGACCGTCTATGGGTCTGGACAACAGGACGGACCAGGGGTCCAAATCTATGTGTCTCTCCAGTATGTCATTCAGTAGTGTCTGTATGTGCTTCCAATATTTGCGGGTTTCTGGGCATTCCCACCACATGTGCACGAAGGTGCCTTTGCCACCGCATCCCTTCCAGCATGTATCTGTCGTGGCTTTCCCCCATTCTATGTAATTGTACTGGTGTGGTGTACCATCTCATGAGCATTTTGTAGGATTGTTCCTGGTGTAATACACATATCGATGTCTTTGCCGTCGCTTCCCATATGTCCACCGAGTCCTCTCCCTCCAGTTTCCCACCCAGATCTGTCTCCCATTGGTTTATATACCTTGGGTCTTTAGCGTCTTTGTCAGGGGTGCTGAGTTGTGTGTATATGGCTGTTATTAAGCCCTTTTGTACGGTGTCAGCATTGCACAGCTGTTCATAGAACGTCATCTGAGTATGGGCTGCTTCTCTAACCTCTGGGTTTTTGGCGAAGTCTCGTAGTTGTACGTATCTAAATACGTCTTTCGTGGTAAGGGGTGCCAGGGTTTTTAGATTGTCAAATGTTTTGAAGGATCCGCCTTCATACATGTGCCCATATCTCTGTATCCCCGTGCTTTCTATTCCCCGAAAGTCTTATTTATAATTATTTTATTATATCTTTTCATGTGACAACACTGGAGAAATGACACTGCTACAATGTAAAGTAGTAAGTGTACAGCCTGTATAACAGTGTAAATGTGCTGTCCCGTCAAAATAGCAACCCACAGCCACTAATGTCTAAACCGTTGGCAACAAAAGTGAGTATACCCCTAAGTGGAAATGTCCAAATTAGGCCCAATTAGCAATTTTCCCTCCCCGGTGTCATGTGACTCATTAGTGTTACAAGGTACAAGCAAATTTACACTGTTATACAGGCTGTACACTTAGTACTTTACAGTGTAGCGGAGTGTCATTTATTCAGTGTTGTCACATAAAAAGATATAATAAAAAAAGAAGTGGAGGAGGTAACCAAAATTATATATTAAAACTTAATGTTTAATTGATAATTTCAAAGCCCAATAGGACAAGAAAAAACAAAATATCTAACACTAAAGAACTCAAATAGTACTATATATAGAAAATAATAATAAAAAAAGCACACACAAATAAATGAAAAGAATGTATATTCATATACGCCTACAATTAGCCTAATAAAATAGAAGAGAGGTATCAAAACCTCTATATTTATGTCTACTATGGTGCTAATGTATGTATGGATATATAGACAGGCACTTAGACACGCTGTCATCAAAATACAAACTTAACTGTAAGCAGGAGAGACGTAATAGACCTCTAAATCATTCGGAATATAATGCCGTGTCTATGTAAGTATAATGCTAAGGGTAATGTGCTCATTTATACTAACGGCATAGCAGGAGAACAAAAAAAGAAGGTAATTCCTGATAGAATAATCCTACTCAATATCTCTGTGTCTGATAATAATAGTATTTATGGGATATTTGTAATATCTCCCAATATGAAATCAATTATAGCAAAAACCATTCATGCACAAAGATATGTAGGATTAAGTTTCTCTGTCCTTGAAACACAGGGTATCTTAGGGATCAGTAATACATATTAACTAGCGCAGCGGGGATGCCGTTAGTAACTAAATCACTATCCCCGCTTACAATGTAGCATAGATACAATGTTACTGATATCTGATTCAAATGCCCAAATTTCTGATTGGGCAATTGTCAGGCTGATCGGTAAACATAATAGATATCGAATAAAATAACAATAACAGTATATTTACATATAGCCCTAACATGGAAGATACCCAGAATCCCACGGACCTCCAGGTTATGATTAACGCAGCGGTGGCCGCATCCATGGAGAAGGCTATGGCCAAAGTGTTCCCGGCGGCCTCTGATCCTATCAAGCCGGCTCCTAAATGCTCCAAGGCAGGGACGACTCAGATGAGTCTAATGATTCCTCCAGAGAGAGTGAAAGGTCATAGCAAAGGAAAGGCGCCCTTCAAGCGCAATAAGCGCCTATGGCCCCCACGCCTATCCAGGATGATTCCTTGGACAAGGAAAAAGATATGCCTCACTCCCTCTCCATCTTGCGGAGAAGGCAGAGCTCTCAGACTCAGGGAGACCTTTCTGGGTGAGCCCCAGAGTAAGGAGGATGCAGAGACGACGAAAGCGTCCCCTGCTCAGGACAAGGAGGTTTTTCTGGATGCTAAAGGTCAGAGGATGTTCAACTCCAGGAACATCAGACATCCCCGCTCCGGGGAGTGGGCTCCACCAGAACACCTCCTTAAGTTTATGCACCTTTGGATACGCAAGCCCCAGGACAAACACGTCCACAAGCGGATGAAGGCTGAATGCCCCAGGCCATCACTACTGGATAAGGTGGCTTTTACGCCTGAGTTCGACCAGCTCATGCTGGCATTTATGGCACGTGGAGGTCATGACCCTCGCAAAGGGGTAGAAAGGAGCTCCAGGGGAGCACAAGATAAGCTTATGGATGCAATGGGGCTACTGGCCCGTGTAATGTACCTGACAGATGATGCATATGCCCGGGCAGACTCTTTCACTGCGGATATGGTGCATGAATGGGCGTATGACATTAGATAATGAACCCAAAGAGGGTTTTCTTTTATGGGCAATACCAATGCGGCCCTCTCGTCTGAGCAGCGCCGTGCAGTACTCTTCCGCATTGATCCCAAACTGGCGGATCCTGGGCGAAAGAAGTAGGCCCACAGGCACAGATAAATCTTTTTGGAGAGTCCTTCAGGAAGGAATTAAACAAGCATGTAAGCGTGTTCACATCTCTAAACAGGGCCTGTACCTCTGCGCAGGGTCTTTAGTAGCAACCCCACCAAGGGTGTTTTTTCCAGGGCTGGTCATCAAAGGGGCCATGCCACCAGCCAATTTTGGCCAACAGGCCCCTATATGGGACACCCACAACAATTCTACCCGAAAGCGAGCATAAGGCAACAATACCGTTACTACCAAAGGGGATCGGACAGAGGCCGTGGAGGTCGCGGACCAACCCGCGCAAGATTCCCCACAGGTAAGAGACTATCAGTTATATGGGCCTACTTTAACCGTTACTGCTGGCCGTATTCTCCTTTTTTTTCCAGAATTGGGAAAAACTCTCCGCAGATGCATGGGTGTTACAAACCGTCAAAGGTTATCATATCATATCATATTAAAATGAAGAGGGTACCTAGCGTTCACCCCTCCCCCGGCCCCCACCCCTGAGCAGTGGCCCCAAATAATGGGTGTCCCTATGTTGTCTTATGTTTTAAAGAAAACTAGAGCAGATAGGAAGAAATTAAAACAGACCCTGAGAGAGGGAGAGAAGAGGTATCGATTAAAGAAAGGTGAGATCGGCATTACAGTTCCACTATAAAAAGCCAAATGGCAGCTTGAAAAAAACAGCAAAGGAAAATCTCAGCCTAGGATTAAAAAGTCTCTAGGCAAATAGATTACCTGTCAAAGGTGGAAGTCACACATCCTTTATCGTACAATATTTGCATGTGTTTGCATATGGTCTCCACCTCCTTCATAAGTAAAATTGTTATTTGTGTAATTCACTGTGCATCCCCCACAACCAAATGCTTACTCAGCTAAAATGGAAAATGATTATATATAAGACAGTATTCCTGTATGAATCAATAAGCTAATGTCATTTTTATCAGACTAATCATACGCCCATTTAAACAAACATTTCAGCCAGAAGGATCGAAAACTATTCCTAGCAAGGCCAAACAAGTCTATTAACTTCCTTAAGTGGTGTTGCATTAAGTTGGGTAAGACTAGTATCAATAATGAGCTGCTAATTTAGTTATATCCCCAAGGATATGTGTTACGGTTACCTGCAAGCTAGCTGAAGGCTGGACCGCTTGGATGTCCTGGTTCCCGAGTGTGGAGAGAGAGAAGCGCCGTTCCGTTCAGCATACCACAAGAATCCTGTGAATATAAAGCAATCCCACTATTTATGGTACAGCTAGGATACCCTTGTTCCCACAAAATGAGTCGAGGCTGCGATTTGAGGGTCAAAAACGAACTGGGTTTAATGGCACACAGGCATCGCTATTTATGCAAAACCCCAGGTTCAGGGACAGCCCCCTCTGGACCTGATGGGATACAGGGACAATACAAACAGTTGACCAATGGCCGTCCAGTGTATTGTTTTAAATGGTCACCGCCCAGCTTGGAGATAATGACTCTAACAGTTATGGCAATTTAACAATCTCCAAGCGCCCAAAATCCCACGTTTTATTGTAACATAAAAAACAGTGTAAAAATACATAACTATAACATTTTAATAGACACATATTATATTCCACCATTTGTTGGATAGCCCAGATCTGAGCGCAGCAGATACGCGAATAGCACTCAGATCTCACGAACGGTATAGCCAGTCTCTTCAATACAAAGTCCTTTCGTGCCTTTTTGCAGCCATGTTTTCAGGCTGGTGAATAGAGAGCGGGACCTGGCCCTAAAACCCCTGGAGCGATTAGCGGCTGAACAATTGCGCGAATACCGCTCAGAGGATGGTTGTCCCAGCCCTTCGTGAGCCGAACAGAGACCGCCATAACTTAACTTGCGGTTAACCGCAGACCCAACGTTCTAATTGGGGACACACGCCCGGGTGTAGGTGGTCCTCGTTCGGGAGTCTTTCGGGAGTTTCAGTTCGGCGAATTATTACCCTGAGGCAGTCAATTAGGCTTGCAGTTAACCGCAGACCGCAGCTTCCCGGTGGTCAATTGGAAGCACACTCCGCTTGTAGGGTGGTCGGTCATTCGGTTGTTTTAAAGGTGAAAAGGGTTAAATGGCGGCACACACCAAGGGCCGGATGGTCTTTTGTTCGTATGCACGAATACATAGTCCTGACTGTTCACGTAATGCGTTTTATACATTATAACTACCGAAACAGAGTATATGGTAAAATAAACAGGGTAATCCCATAACGATCTGTAGAGCGCCCGTAACAGTATGCCAAAACAGAATTCAGATAATCTTACATAGGGCAGCAAGACATTTTTTTTTTGTTAATAAACAGGTATGTGCTAACAATTGTTTAAATACTACCAGAGTTGCTCAGGTTTTAATTATTTGTGCTAAATGCACAGGGTTAGTCCTTAAAAATGCATGTGCTAAGAAGCCATTATCAGCAGTTTTAATTCAAACAGCCAACCCATTGATCAGACTTGGTTGGTTGAATTTAAGATGGCTTTTAATCAATCTGAAACTGAAACAAAAAAAGTCAGAAAACAGTCGATATATTTAACAACAGTTTTCTGACAAAATAAATAAATTGAGGTCCTAGTAATGTTGCATTGATACAATAGTTATCAAATTAAAATGGAACTGCATTTTAACGTGATAATTAAAAGTGCATTTAACTACATTTCCTATTATAATTAAAACACAGAGGTAATGATATACAAAACAGAAGCCTTCCACGAAATGATAAATGTGAAGAAAAAAAAAGACATATACCAAGAAATACAACTTAGAACTTGTATTTTTGGGGAAATGCCAAAGCATGCAGGAATCCAAACCATGAACATTACTGCATGATTGATAAAAGCAAAGGGATTTTCTATGAGATTTAAAAGATTCACTTGTCAGCTGTTAAATCTTCCAGTAAGCCTCTTACACTGAACAGCGGCAGACAATAGGCCAATGCCCCAGTTTTTTTCTTTTTACTTGCTTGATGCTATTCTACAATGTCAATATGGATGCAACCGAAGCAGAAAATGGTCTAATAAACCCCAGGGTTTCCTTGACAAACAAACAAAAAACAGGATTTATAGTTACCGATAATAAAAATTATTTTTTTATGTTTACTGGTTGAAGATGACCTAGTTTTTAGTGTATTATGGAAACAATGCATAAAAAAAAAAAAAAAGATAAACAGATATTTACTTCTGAATACCCCACATTTACTGTAAAATAAAATTTTCTGATAGAGCAGGTGACCAAAATTTCAGTCAGTCCTGAGTCTGCCACTAATTATAATAGGACAGTTGTGGGATATGTACTTAGTCATTCAGTGATTTTTCATATAATCCATTAAAAGCAATGGCGAATAGAAGCACCAGCCCAGTAAGTGACATTACTGAAACTAAATCCTACAGATCAAAGAACACAAGTGTCAGGAGCCGAAGAGCCTAAACTGTGATTATCATTTGACTTCTTGGCTATGAGACATATTAATCTGTTGCCATATTGTTATCTACGGATGCCCTTGAATCTTGGATTACAATTATTGTGCATATTGCAGCATAGTCACTAGAAAGGTATTTGATCCATAAAAATGAATTACAGAATTATATATCAGCTGACACTCTCAACCAATGAATAATATCCCAGTTTTGTTTGAGTTAATATCATAATGCTAAAGTATGAACTTCTGCTTTATCATGTCAGCTCGGACCTAAAGGATTGCAGACGCAAGGTGTGTGTCAAATCACCCTTAAACAGTTTGACAGTTTACTATCAGGCTGCACCAGGGATTCCTAGAACCATAACTACTGTAGAGTACATGGCTATGGTGCTCAGAGTATCCCTTTAATATAATGTTATTATGTATTATGTTACTAAAATATTATGCGTACATGTCTTGATTATATTAACGGATATTTTATAATTTGCCATGATTACCTTACAGCTGCACTTTTTACATTTTATTTTCATTTATTTTTAAAGTTCGACCAATGACCACGTGCTGCCCCATTGGTTTTAATGATATTTATTTTAATCACCTTTACATGATCACCATTTCACTCTGTCACTAGGCTTTTGGAAGCATGTTAGACAGAAACAGCTCCCAAGTAAAGTAAGTGGTTTCATGTGCTCCTACCAGGTTTAAATAAATTAACTTAACAGTTAAGTATCATTTTTCTTTTTAACATCGTACAGAAAGAATATTAAGTATATATTGGAATCAATATCCATAATGAAAGGCCACATGCAGTAACAAAGACCGGTCCGAGTGCAGGTGCCTAAACAGTAAAAGAAATGTTAGGATACATTTCTTGCCAAAAGGAATATCCTCCAAAGAAAATACATAATAGAACAGTCTGTTACCTGAAGTAGTACAGGTATGTTGTTTCATCCAATAAATGCATGTGATCAGTTTGTGCTTACTAAATGTGTCAAGCAACCATCCTAAGCTCAATTGGATTTTTTACTGTTCTGCTCAGAGGAAAAACTGGCAACTGGATGAGAAGGAAGGATTACAGGTACAGACAGCTGTCTGTCATGTTTTCATTACCAGTGGTGACTGGTTTTGGTTCTCACCCTGTGCTCTAAGTGTAAGGTTTCGATTTGGACATGTACTCACCCATGTCCTGAAACTAAAGATTAAGAGAAACTGGAGATAGGGATTAGCTATAAGAAACTTTTTGCTTTTTTAGCAAAGTTAAATACATGATAAGGATTGTGGGATCAAGGCACATGCAAATGTAAATATAGGCAAATGATAAAGGGAGCACTATCATTGATATCTCTATCTTTGATAGTGAATAGGAAATGGAGGAGTGGACGATGGCTTTCCTAAATGACTGTCCGGTAGGTTTGTTTTTTTTAAATCAATCTTTATTAAGAATTTTTGTGCAGAATGCAGAAATAGACTTGTCAAGTGATTAAAATAGAAAATATTACTTGGGCAAATGCAAGAGTGCAAGCATATAACATGGTCAAAAATAACTAGCACCCTCTTTGGGAAAAGCATGTAGTACTACTTGGCACAGAGAAAGAGTGGGGTGCAATCCTAAATCTAACAGATTTAAGGAAACATTGTGGGCATAATTACAATTTCATTATGTTGTTAAGGAAGTTATTAAAGGGACACTATAGTCACCTGAACAACTTTAACTTAATGAAGCAGTTTTGGTGTATAGAACATGCAGCCTCACTGCTCAATCCTCTGCCATTTAGGAGTTAAATCCCTTTGTTTATGAACCCTAGTCACACCTCCCTGCATGTGACTTGCACAGCCTTCCATAAACACTTCCTGTAAAGAGAGCCCTATTTAGGCTTTCTTTATTGCAAGTTCTGTTTAATTAAGATTTTCTTATCCCCTGTTATGTTAATATCTTGCTTACCCTGCAAGAGCCTCCTGTATGTGATTAAAGTTCAATTTAGAGATTGAGTTTGTTTGTTTTCCTGACACTATAATGATCCTTTGACAAAGTATTATAGGTTTTATACTTTACAGAGAATGGGAGAAATGTGCAGGGGAGAGTAGATGGATGTGCTTTATATGCTTAAAATTCTATTCCCCCAATATAATTTGAATTGTAGTGCCTCCAGAAAGAACATCTAGAGAGGGGCTTCTCAAAATTATATCAAAATCATTAGAAGCAGCTAAAATAGCCCCCTATAGGTTCATGTCCACAAGACCTTTATGGATGGGCAATGGAAAAATTACTTACTAATTAGAGCTCCCTGAATTCTAAACTACAGGAAATTAATTTTAATCTATGCATACATTGTTATTGCTTCCCTTATTTGCTCCATCAGATTTCCTCCTCTATTCCTGAAATTTGTGCTGAGGTGGAGTCACAACCATCCTTCATATATGGTCGAATTTGGCATTTAACAAAGACATACAAGCTTCAGTTCATATATATCATTTTATTTCTGCTAAAAGACGTTTTATAGTCAGTATTAATCTTCTGCACCATTATCTGTATCTTCCTGTACCTAGGTATATGAAGATATTGAGCATTTCAAATAAGACTTATACTGAGTAGTTGTATTGCAATTCTTTTTATTTTTTTATTTTGGCATATGTGTATAATTTAATAAAAGTTACGTTTAACCTTCTCACATAATTCCAAGTCTAGGATGATATTTGCCAGTCTTGCAGACGTTTCCCTATTAAAGTTCACAAGAATTTACACCT